GATGATTTTTATTAATCACCTGATTACTCACACCTTTCCATGGTCTTTCCCAAAAGAGCGTTATCTATACCTACGAAGAAGAGCGACAACACACAGCGATATGAAGAAATTTCAATGTCACAAATAACTAGTTGTACCTTCACCTACCACCTATATACATCTATATATATGTAATTTAATTATACATTGCAATTAAGTATGTGTAAATGAGTGGTTGTGTATTTAATAATTTAACCCCGTAATTATAATCTATGTTATTGGCTTTAAAAACAATAAATAAATAAACAAATAAATGAATGAATGAATAAATAAATGAATAAATAAATAGTTCGAATATTCAATGAATTCACTCATTCCATTCACAGAACTGTCGACCAGATGTCGAATCATCTCTCGATGGACCAGATGGAAGATCCCCGCGGAATTCCGCAGTGATCCGAGAGTGAGTATCATCCACCGTCTCGCCTGGATTGCCCACTGATGACTCACATTCGCTGCGACGATGAGTTGTGCCTCGCACTGTTTATTTCCTCCTCCCGCGTTTTAACTTTCCTCCGAAGTTAATTGATAATTCCCCGCACTTCGGAAAATCAACGATTTCATTAGAAAATTCGAGTGATAAATAAACAAATAGCAACATTTCGCGGGATGAGTTGGATATTAATGGGTAAAGGACAGGTTGATAAAGTACGCACGTTTCATTCGTTACGAGGAAAATGGATAAAGAATAGGATGGGTGATAAGGAATCGGTGAGTTTGCGTTGAGATGGCGTTTACGAGAAAACAAAAGGCCTAAATGTGCGGTTCCGGGAATTGGATGAAAGAAGTGTCTTTGTGGATTATTGAAATTAGCATTCAACGAATTGTCGCGGTGGGTGACTCATTTGTACTGGTGGAGGACACGAGTTTTAGCGCTATAAATTTGGAGGATTTCCCGGGATGAAACTGTTTCGAAACGAAAAAATATTACTGTTGAGGGAAATTCTATTGGAGTTCTGTTGACGTTTCTATTTTTTGCAGCCGATTCTGCGCGTTTTTTTTTTCAATATAAATTTCTATAGAAAAATTCGATCGAAGTAGACTTTTCTGTAGAACTTGTTCTATTGAAATATTTATTCCAGGAATTCCTCGGCTCCAAGTTTTCTTTACTTGATTTTTTTTGTGAAAAAAAGAAGAAAAATAAAATAGAAAAAACTGGGGAAATTCATGTCGAGGAATTTCTATAGAAGAAGAAAGTACGGAAAAATGAAATTTTAGCGATTTTTTCTGTTAAATAGTTACAATTGTACATTTTCTATTAAAAAAAACGTGCAGTAGCGCTAAAGTTTTCTCACAGAACTTTTGTACGCGGAATTTTCACAACAGAGACGAGTTCACGGGACACAGCTGTCCCCTAGAGTACAAAAGTTTGTGGGTGGTCTTTGTCGAAACCGGAAATCTGTGGTAATTGAAAGATTACCCGGTGGACAGATCTCACCAGATAAATTCAACTTGATTTAAGAAAATTTCTCGGGTCTTAACAGATCGAGACAATTGAACTAGTTTCCTTGGTCAAGCTGATAATCCCATTGTTTTTTCATGAAATGTAGATCATGAAAATTCTTGGAGAGAATGTATATCGTCCATGATAAATTTCATTGGCCCGTGGAAAAATTGAAATCCATTTTTTTGTCACTGAAAAATTCCATGAGAGTATGATAATGATAATGGAAAATTTTGCGGCATGAATTCTCAGCCAAACGGGGATGAAAAAATCTGAAAGATGGTTTAAAAAATTTGTTCATTCTATAGAAATCGGATGAAATAAGTTGAGGGCAATCTGAAGACGATAAATAATTTTCATAAATGTTTAAAAATGCGAGATGGGAGCGCCGCCATATTTGAAGCCCCTGGCAGGTGGCAAGGGGCGGGGGTATCCAAGCAAGATGGCGGCGACATTTCTAAAAAATATTTATCCTCCTCAGATCACCTTCAACTCGTTTCTTCCAGTCCCTAGAGAAAGAACAAATTTTTCATGCCATCCTTCACATTTTTTCAACCCCTTTCGACTGAGAATTCATGACGCAGTTTCCCCGCATTTAAGTAATTGTTTTTTTTTTCACTCCCGCGGTCTCTCAAGTCAAGTCACGCGTCCACTTATTCCACTGGAACATTTGAACTTGAAACGACAGAACGAGGAAGCTTTTTGAAATAATCTCCCAGCTAACGTGAATGCAAATCAATGCAGGAATAATAATCCCAATCACATCGTCATTCAAGTATTTGTATCGTAGTTCTGCTTCATCAATCCGCGTTGTGGTCACAACGACGATCTCACTTTCCTACTGTTTGATCCGAGTTTTTACCCATTTCCAATGGCTTCCGAATTTCATAAACCCGATTGACGCAATGGACATGGGTTGCGTCATTATTGCGTCGGGGTTTTCTTTCCTAATGATTTAACGGAATTCATTATTAGAAAATGATTAATGCGGAAAAATTGATCACCGCGAGGAAGTTAACGATTTCCTTCCTATTTGTGGATCAATTCCGGAGTTGGCAAAAAAGAATTCCTAGAGCAACTTGGGATATTAATGAATATCCTCAAACAACACGCACGAAGCAATTCAATAGAAAAACCTAGCGAATTCGCTAGACAATTCCACTAAAATGTTCAATAGGAAATATTTTTTTGAAAAAGTGAATAGAATTCAATTTTTCTATACAACTTATTCTATTCAAACATTTTCTATAGAACTTGCTCGGCTCAAATTTTTCAATTTTTTCGTACGTGGAACTTCATTAAATTGGAGTTGTTTGTAAATATCTGCATGTTTGTTCTATATGAGTATTATGTAATATGATTTGACCGTATAATTGACCTCGACTCTTGGGTCTCGATTGAATAAATAACAAACAAGAAAAATTGATATTTTTTGCTAACCATTCAATATAAAAATGCATAATGGAGTATTTTTCAGACTATTTTTCAAATATTAAATTTTCTTTTGAAAATTTCGATGAAAATTTTTTTTGACAGCCAACATTGCCCCAATATTGGCAGCCAACATTGGCCCGACGTTGGCAGCCAACATTGGCCTAATATTGGCCCAACGTTGGCAGCCGACATTGCCACAACATTGGCCCAACGTTGGCATCCGGCATCGCCCCAACATTGGGCCAACGTTGGCAGCCGGCATTGCTCCAACATTGCTCAATATTGGCATCCGACATTGTCCCACCGTTGACAGTCAACATTGCCCCAACATTGGCAGTCAACATTACCTCAATGTTGGCAGCCAACATTGCCCCAACATAATCTAAAAATAGCAAATTCAAACTCCTGAGACAAAAATTAGTTACGCTGACCCAAAAAATTCGAAATTTCGGATTTGACGAATACAATACTTCCCCATTATAATCATAGATCTGATATAATAATTCAAAGAATATCCACTATATTTCCTACAAAGTGGCGAATAAAGTTGAGAGCACTGAATGATATTTTTATTTTTCTCCAAAAATCAAAATGTACATACATAAATGGATTGATGTTCACATTCACGTTAAACGCTTACTCATGTCGCTGTTACGTCTGCCAATCTCATTTATTTTCTCTGCAAGTGACTAGTCACTTGAGTCGGATCTCCACGCATTGAATAATATCGCGGAATAATGGTTTAGAAAAATTACTTTTGTTTAGTCTCAACCGAGTCTGAATCGTCACGTATGGAAAAATTTAACAGGACACGTGCGTCTGCAGTCGCAATCGAAGAAAATGACTGATTGTTGTCATTCAGATTAACAAATCAGAGAAAATTCCATCTCACAACTTACTTTATCGTAATTATCAGTGAAACGAATGAATCAGTGGAACAATTAATTCCGCTCGAGGATAGCTTGCAGAGTATAAAAAACCAGTTTCAAGGGATGGAATTATCGAACAGGAATTTCGGAATTCCTCCATTTAATTCTCTGCAAAACGTATGACGTACTCTTGTCAATTCATGATAAAAAACATTCGAATGACAATAAAATAAAAAACAACAACTACAATGAATTCATTTGGTAACGAATTTTCACACGACACAATTTGCAGTCAAATATTCATCGTAAATTATCTATTGCTCATTTATTACTGTTCCTCTGATAACTTCAATTACCAAAAAAATGGACAGGTGCTTCTGCAGTTGCAACACTATCCCATTGCTCCACCCCAACAATTTCCCTCGAAATAATCATTTCCCAGATATTTTTAAAGACAATTTTTCAAGAGAGAGAGAGAGAGAGAAAGCAATCGGCCAACGCTGCGACAAAGGCTTCTCATTTATTATAATCAATAAATATTAGGTATAATAATATATTTATTAATGATAATATTAGTATTGTTCTATTTGGACAGGAATAGTTTGTTTTTTTTTTCACAATATGGACAAATTCATTATTGTAATCTTACGTATAATGTAGTTAATCTTTCACTTCTCTCGCAACTGTGTCAATTATTATTTTACACTGTTAATTGATTAATAAGTGCTTTTGTCACGTTAATTATCATATTCTCTCAAAAAATATTATAGTCCGTTGTAATTTGATTTCGCTTTTACTTGTGAGTACAGAGATGATACATTGTTGCGTCGGTGATTCTCTATTGCATATCCTTTCCTCTCTAGAATATTTTAAAACGACTAGGCTTTTTGGTAAACCAAAAAATAATAATGAACAAACGGTTGAGTTACCGCTCGCTGAGGGGCCTTCGGAGTGAGAAAAGGGCGAAATGCGGGGGAAATTTGGCGCCATGAATTCTGAGGCAGAAGAATTTTGTTTTTCAAACTGGGAAAAATTACATTTGTTTTTAAAATAAATTCTGTTTTATGTTGCATTCATCAGCAAATCATTTTTTTAGATATTTGATTGAAAAAAGTCAGCGGATTTAGATTTTTCTATAGAATTTCTGCAGTTGCTGATGGAATTTTAAGAGAATTTTTATAAAATTCATGAATAATTGAATAGAAAAATCTTGCATTTTTTAAAAGAAATTTTAAGAAAAAAATTAACAGCATCAAATCAACAGATTTTTATTTTCTCGTAATAAAACCCAAGAAAAAATACTTAGAGAATTCTTGTTCAAGAATTCTTACAGAAAAATCCCAATAAAATTAGTTATATCGAAAACTCAACATCCATATACTCTTTTCCATGAAAAAATATCTATTAAAAAACTCACACGAAAATTTCATACTTTCTAATAGAATTAGTGCGAAAAACCAATTAAATTTTCTAATACATTTTCAACAGAACTTCAATAGAATTCTCAAAAAATTCTTTAAAAATAAAATCGAAAAACAGCAATTGTTCAGCGAAATTCTAGTTGTTTTTTGAAAGAATTTTCCCCCCTTAATTAAGTTTTTTTTTCTCTCTCCCAAGGCCCCTTAAGGGGTAACGATACCCCCTGCAAGTGTTTAATTTCTGGATCGTCCTCACATCCACAATTATTAAAAATTGAAAACCAAAAAACTTCGACACTCCACTGCTACACTGTGCAGTGCCTGAATTTTTTTACTCCAAAAATGAATAACCACAGACCCAAGGACTCCCCAAAAACTGAAACCACTCACGGACCCCCATTACCCCTTAATCACCATAATCCAGCAAATAACAACAAAATTATCATTTTACACGACATGTACTTACAATTATGAACTATCGTTCCCCCTAATTCACTCAGCATTAAAATATTTTTCGTATTTATAATTATTATGCAATTGATACAATGAAGCAAACTTCCCTAGTGTCTAACTTAACCTAATATTGCATCTCTACTGCAAGTGGAATTACTTAAAACCTACGAAAACAATAAACCACTCGATACGATTAACAAAATACTTAATTAAAAGTCAACGCAAGCTTCCCTTTAAGTTTATACACGTATTCACGAATAAATCATGACAATGTGTGGACAAATGTTATTGGCATTCATTGAAACTGAATGATAAGAAACAGAACTCAACAACTTTGACTACTAAAATTAATAATAACATTACAAAACAATTCGTCTAGTTAAATTAAATCCTCTGAATAATCTGCGTCGTACAGTTGTTCTATTATTCAATAACTGCAGGCAAGTGGCTGTATTCTATGAATTAGTATTAATGAGTCATAGCTTTATCCAGAAATTAAATATCTCGATCTAAATCTGGAAAGTACCCTTGATATATATATATTTTTTTTACAACAGACACTTTAACAGCTCTTGCATACTTTATAACTACACATTTAAAATTCCGTGATTCAATGGTCATGAATTTGATAATTCAAAGTATTGAGACAATTGATAATTACAAAAATTAATTTTTGGAATGTTTTGAAATTCATTAGATTTTTCATCACATTTCTGTACTGAACATAATGTACTGATACATTTGGATAATTGAATACTCCACCAGTGGAAATAATATTCAATTGCTGTAATAAATGCCGTATTTTTGAATTAATCATGAGAAAAGTGTGAAGGGAAGTCTTAATAAAACAAAAAAAAATGCCAATTTTTCTTCTTCAGAATATTGAAATCACAATAATTCCTCACGTGGAATGTTTTAAAAATTATTAGCCCTAGATTTTTCGTCTCCTTTCGCATTTGCAAATAATGTATCGTTACATTTTGATAATTGAATGATCCACCAGTGGAAACAATATTCAATAACTGCAATAAATGCCGCATTTTCGAATGAATGAGGACAAAGTACAAAGGGAAGTCTTGATAGAATGAACTAAAATGCAATTTTCTCATGGATTATGGAAGTCTAGGTCATCCCCACGAATCCCAATGGAGATAATGAACCTTGATGGGAGGCTCAGACCCTCGCATCTGGGGAATGAGGAGACAACTCATGGAATGTGGAATGTGCTACACACATGCTCATCGATATATGGTTTTTTTTAAAGAAATACACCAATTTTTTTGGATTAGTAGTCCCTAGGTATCTATCGGAGTCAAAACCATCAGCACTATAACATTCTTTTATGATTATTTTGTGTTCTGCTCGATTTTAGGCATTTACCAGTTATGGCGTTGTATTATGCAGCTTTTGAAAATTTTTTTTTTGTCCTCTTATTTTGCTCGGGGGGATGAACGTGTACTTGTGGCTGAGAGGCCTTCTCCCCGACTTCGGCTTCTGTGGAGGGAATGGAGACCTTCACCTAGAATATATTTTATTTTATTTAGATTGGTTTAATTTAATTTCATTCATTATTCAGTTTGTTTGATTTTTTTTACTGAATGTTTTTATTTCATTTTACTTCTGAATAAGAAATTTCGAGAATTAATTCATTGTTATGGAGAAATTGAAGAGGGAAATCATGTGAAGACGGAATAAAAAAGTTTCATTTAATTTTACTGAATTTATAGTGGAATTCTGTGACTATTCTAGTGGAATTTTTTTTGTGGCGTTGCCTCAATGTTGGCACCCAACGTTGCCCCAATGTTGGAAGCCAACATTGTCCCGACGTTGACAGCCAACATTCCCCCAACATTGCCCCAACGTCGGCCGCCAACATTTCCCCAACACTGGCAGCCGATGTTGTCCCAACGTTGGCGGCCAACATTGCCCCGATGTTGACCGCCAACATTCCCCCAACATTGTCCCAACGTCGGCCGCCAACATTCCCCCAACATTGTCCGAACGTCGGCCGCCAACATTTCCCCAACATTGTCCCAACGTCCGCCGCCAACATTATCCCAACATTGACAATCAATATTATCTTAATGTTGGCATCCAACATTTTGTCCCCCGTTGGCATCCGACACCTCCCCAAAAACCTAAAAAAAAAAATAACAAAACCGTAACATTACCTCTGCTAACACTCCTCCGCATGATGGATCCCGCGGCCTCCTGTTTCGTAAAATTCCTGAGTGCCCTTCCCCGTTTATCCTGAATGAGTTTGTCAACCTTGACAAAAATGCCGCATTTAGGTCGACAAGTGAAGTACCTCTGTCCATTAACAGCGCCATCATTCTTCCCAGTGGGTGCATCAAGCTCGACACCAATCCAAGTACCCGAGGCGAACTCAGTCCCTCCTATATAAGCAATGACACCGCAGTAGCTGTAAGGACGCACCATCACCGACTCCCCCACCACCACCCACTCAGGAAGAGGTGCCTCGATTCTCGTCAAGTCTGATTTGGATCCGAAAGCCGAGCTTTTGTCATTCACCTCGTCGTCAATGCGCTCTGACGAGCTGTGATCACCATTTTCGTAGTTCATAGAACTTGCTGAAGACTTGCTGTCTGAGAAGTGTGGACGGACCATTGGAAATGAGGCTCTGTGGTACTGAGAGCTTTGGCTACTTCTACCAGAATTATTGGAGAGCTTTCGACGTCTCACGACTTTTCCTGGTAGCAATTTCGTTTGAACGACTGAATTGCCCTCGAGGGGGCTGTCGTCACCAGAATTCGAGGTCTGACTCGTCTCCATGTCCTGTTTTTTTGGATTATTATCAACAGAAATTGGAGAGTCCTGATTTCGTGATGTTGTGTCAGTCGAATTCACCTTCATTTCGTCGGCTATCGAGGGCTTTTCCTCCAGGCATGTGCCACGCAGCTCGATGGAACACTTTCGCTCGTCTATTGAACCCTTTGAACCACTCAAGTCGTCCAGGTCAGTGCTTATGTCGCCGAAGTACTCCTCTGGGGTTTCCGACACCAGGGAACTGTCCATCTTCTCGGTTTTTTTGGCTTCAATTATGTTTTTATACTCTACGTCCGGGGTCTCGTCCACGCTTATGGATTTTATGGAGATTGAATCGTCGGATGTTAGGTTTGTGGTGGAGACTGCCTGCGAGCCGTAGCCACTGCTGCTCATGCTGGGCGTCGTTATCTTTGTGGACTGCAGCTCGGCGAGGGAGTCCAGGGTGCGCGAGGTTGTCAGGGGCCTGACTGGTCTTCCTCGCATCTGGTGCAAGGGGGATGAGAGTTTATTTAGGTTTTAGAATTGAGAAGTGCGCTAGGTCGAAACAACGAAAATGTGAGGTGGATAATTCTAGTAAATTTGTATTGAATTTTCTATTAGTTTTTTGCGGCTTGTGTTGAAAAATTCTCCAGCTTATCTGTGTTTTTTTTCTGTTGCAATGTGCAATGGGAAATATCCTACAGAAAAAATCTATAGAATTCAATTTTTCTAGAGCAATTCAGTATTGAAGCGGTAAACCGAGTTAAGTCGATTTTGACTATTAGCCAGTTTTTGCTGAATATCTCGGAATCTAAGAGAGATAGCAAAATTTTTCTCATGACTTTTTTTATAACGCTCTATTGGCTCTATAAAAAAGGTCATGACAAAAATCTTTCTATCTCCTTTAGATTTCGAGATATTCGTCGAAAACTAGCCAATAGTAAAAATCTACTTAACCCGGTTTACCGCTTCGCTACTGAATTGTACTACTGAGATGTTTCTATAGAAATTTCTGCGCTCAAATTTTTCAAGGTTCAATTTGATTTTTCTAGTGGAAAGAAGAGAGAAAGTGGAAAAAGATCAGGAAATTTATCCCGAAAAATTCCTATAGAAAATGGCGCAATAAAAAATGAATAGATGAAATTATTCTTAATTTAGAATAACAGTTGAACAGAAATCCAATAGAATTTTCTATTAAATTCGCTAGGTTTTCCTACTACATTTTTTCGTGCGTGTGGAGTGAGAGGATTGCTTTAAAATATTGTATTTCCATGTTCTATTTTTACACAACCGCAAGAGCGGATATTTAGTTTCAGAATTGAATTATTAGATTTTCTTGTGAATAAAAATATCATTTTTTATTGAATTGTTGGAGGACAGGTAGGACTTGTTTGAGAACTTTGTCGTTTTTCTCTCAGTGTATTTACCGTATAAGAGTCGTATTCAGTACCCTCAGCATCACTCTTCTCGTCGTCAGGGACGGGAGAGGACGCTTGATTCCCCACATTCGATGTTTCCTCGTGAAGAGTCGTCATCCGGAGGCTCAACTTTCCACCCATATTTGGAGAGGCTTTAAAAAAAATCCAGCAATAATCATCATTACTCATTATGAACTGTAACTTCAGAGATACTAATCTAGCAATCAGTGTGGAGTGCCACGCACACATGGTGAAACAACAGCTAAATTCACAAAATATGTAGAACAATTCGAGGAAATATTTCTCAAGCAGTACTTTCTCGAATTGTTTTATTTCAAAACATATCGAACAGATCTGCGAATTCAAAAAAAAATTGGAATGATTGGAATGATTTGGTCTTGCTGATCGGAATGGAAAATTTTGTTCTGCAATAATTCTGGAATAAATGAGGAGTTATTTCAGAATTTTATAATTTTCACCCTGTGTGCATAATTCTAAAAAAATCATACATAATCTGAAAAATAAGGGAAAAAGAGGCAAAACGAGCATGAGTCGTTGGTAATCCCGACTGTAATAGTGTTCGCATTGAAAAGTCGTGGAATTGTCAACGTGAAACACAAAAAAATTTCAGAAGAAAATCTAGCGAATTCGATGAAAAATTATAATGGATTTCGATTGAGAATTCTATTAGTTTTTGGACGATTCTATTGAGGAATTCCGCAGGTTCAATGCATTGTTTATACAATATGGCTTATTATACAGAAAAAATCAGGAGAATTTCTTGCATTTCATTTTCCTTTTCTTTTCATTAAAAAAAATTGAACAAAAAAATTGGAAAATCTGAACCAAAGCATTTCTATACGAAACATCTCAATTGTATGAAATGATCTAATTCTATTGATTTTTTCTGTGGAATATGTTCCATTGAATATTTCTATTGAAGAATTTGGCGTCTTTACATCGAATTTTTTTCCTTAAAAATGTACAATAGAAGCTATTTTTAAAAAATCAGTAGAGTTTAATCTGAATATTTTTCCTTGTCATTAAAAAATCTGTAAAAAATACCTCAATAGAATAAATTCTATAGAAAAATCTAATTCTTGATTTTTTCCACAAAATATTTTCCACTGAAAACTTCCACTGATAAAAAAACGCGCAGGAAATCTGACTTTTTCACCGCAATCAGCCCAAAATGAATAGAATGTTCAACAGAAATTCAGTAGAATTTGTCGAGGCGAATTCCCTGGGTTTCTCTACGAAATTTTTTGCACGTGAATTGACAGACTCACGTTCATATTCACCGAAATAAAACCCAAGTAAACAATAATCACGACCCAACTATCACAAGTGATAAATAATAAAAAGAACCTAAAAACAAAAAGAAAGATAATTAACATAAACATCAAAGGACAACACCGAGACAGGTGCCACCTACACTTGAAAGTCGATTGCTGCACACGTGTCAGTGAAATCTGGTTGAGATTCAAGGATGTTGGTCTCGCTGAAAGGACACAGACTATGATGTATTCATCCACTTTAAGACTTTTAATCAAGAGGATTACGTTAGATTCATTAATACACAACATGGAATCTTCTAGGCTCTATGTTTATCTGGGGATGGGATACAGTACACACACGCACACAATTGATTTACTTGTCTTCTCGTATTAAAGTTTGAGGATATCCAAGCGTTAAATTCCACTCATTTTTTGATAATTTTATTATGCAAACAGCGAATTCCCAGGTTTAAAACCTCTACTTCTTGAGGGAAATGTGGAAAATGATGGGAAAATCAATGATTTATTCATAAAGAAATAATGCTTTTAAAAAAATGATTTTTTAGTTTGATGAATTGTTATTGTTTTTCATGTGATGGAATTAACGAATTTAGTGATTAAAAATCTCTTGTGTATAACCTTCTTTTATAAATAATTTACTAACAATCAATTTTAACAATTTTTTTAAAAGCAAATAATCATTTGAATAAGAGAGAATATTTTGCTGAATTTAATTCTAATGTTGTTGTTATTTTTCAGTTTTATTATTTTTTTTGTTTTCATGTGATTGAATCGACAAATTTAATGATTAAAAATCTTCTTAGATATCCTTAAAGTTTACGAATATATCAGCATTAAATTCCATTCATTTTTTAATAATTTTATTGTCTCATCTATGAATTCCTAGATTTAAAATATCGAGTCCTTGAGAAAAATTCATAAAATCACGGAAGAACAGTGAATTTAGGCGATTATGAGATAGTTTCATAAATAACTTACAAACAACCACTTTGAACAATTTATTTAAAAGCAAATAATAATAAAAAATAGTTTTTGCTAAATTTAGATCTATCGTCATTGTTATTTTTCAGTTTTATTATTTTTGTTTTCATTTTGATGATTAAAAATCCTCTTGGATATCCTCAAAGTCAAGGGGTGTCGACTAATTCCTCCATATTTAATCATTGACATGCAAACTCAAACAAATAGCACCAAATCTAAGAAAATTCGACTCTTCACCCCCACCCTGTGCCTCAATATTCACGAGGAGCGTGAATATTTCATAGCGATAATCTAAAAATCGATCCCCCTTGAAGCTCCCCTCATGTGACTTCCATAAATTAGTATCAATCATCACTCATTCGACGAAGAAACCACTCCTCGCTGTGGTAATCCACCTACAGGCGTTTAAAAAAGAACTGACGAACATTAAAACACTCAACATGCGAATAAAAAAAATAAAAAAGCTTGCAATTTCGTGCAGATGTACGCGTATGACATGCTAAAAATCTCCCATAATTCGAGAAAAGTTGTGCACAGAGTAGAATATTATTTCTTCCCTAAACAAAAAAATTTCAAAATTACGAAAAATGTGTTACTCTGGTCTATTAACATTTCAATGTCCAAAACTTTTCCCACTGATGGATTTCTTCATGCCAAAAAAACCTAGAAATGTGATGAACGACTACAAGAGGCAGACTCAATCATTCACGATGATAATGGACTAGTTTATCGATTTTAATTCGTAATTTAATCATTAAGTAACAAAAAAATGTCAAGACTCCATTTTACCTGAGATGATAATGGAGCCTTGGATGGGCCGAAATAGTGGTAGAGATGGACGTAGTGTTAAAACAGAGGAACAAATAAGATTGAACAAATGAATTAGTCATTTTTTCGTTGAACGAGGTACGTGAAACAAAAGTGTTTCTTTTACTTTTATCGAGTCATTGAGTGACATTTATTTATTTGTCTCAAGGGATGCTAATCAATGCAGGGGCCAATCTGCAGTCGCAGAAAACAATTAATGAGTTTTCCAATTCATTTTCCCTTTTCAATTGCTCTGGGAATTGCCGAGGGGTGGAAATTTAATGAAAAAACTTATTGCGGATTTTAACTGATGGCGAAATATTAAGTAAAATACTAAAGGGTATTTTTGTTTTTATTTGAGGGAGTTATCACTCATGAAATCTGCTGAGAAATTGACATTTTCAGGATTCTCAGGAGAAATCTGTGGAATTTGTTGGAACTTTATGAATTCTGAATTTGTGATTTTTGCATTGAACATTTATTTATTGTCTCAAGGGATGATAATAAATGCATAGGCCAATCTGGCACACTGATAATGGCCATACTCTTTTTAGCTGCAGTCGAAGAAAACAATAAATGAGTTTTTCAATTCATTTTCCCTTTTCAATTGTTCTGTGAATCGTCTGGGGGTGGAAATTTAATGAAAAAACTTATTGTGGATTTTAATTAAAGGCGAAATATTCAGTAAAGTACTAAAGGGTATTTTTGTTTTTATTTGAGGGAGTTATCTCTCATAAAATCTTCTGAGAAGTTAAAATTTTCAGGATTCTCAGGAGAAATCTGGGGGATTTGTGGAAATTTTAGAAATTCTGGATTTGTGATTTTTGAATTGAACATTTATTTATTTGTCTCAAGGGATGCTAATCAATACGCAGGACAATCTGCAGTCGCAAAAAACAATTAATGAATTTTTCAATTGATTTTCCCTTTTCAATTGTTGTGTGAATTGCCTGGGGGTGGAAATTTAATGAAAAAACTTATTGTGGATTTTAGTTAGAGGTGAAATATCAAGTGAAATAGGAAATGGTATTTTTTTTTAAATTTTGAGAGTTCTTTACATTTTTTTAAATTTAAGGGAGTAATCACTCATGAAATCTGCTGAGATTTATTGAAATTCTAGAAATTTTTCTCATAAAAATTTACTGGACAACTGCAAAAGCACTCAAGCCCCCAATGCAACACCTTAAAATCCTCCCAAAAGCCTTCTGAACTCTCAAAAAAATTTCATAATCCTGAAATTTCTCCTGTGTGATCACCCCTCGCTGTCACAATCCCCAAGAATAAATATTCAGACAAATAGAAACAACTGAGACCCTTTGAACATGCGTGAATGATGCGTTCCTTATTGATCCACAGTCGCAGTAATCGTCAAGATTAAAGATAAAAACCCCAAGTAAAATCATCGATTCCAAAACGAGAAAGGAATAAAATTGAAAAAGTTCCATTATAACAAAACCTTCGCACATATGATTCAGCAACAGTTTAAAATCGCATATCATGAGGAGAGAAAGCGATAAAATGACGTTTTTAAATCATTTTGACAGGAAAATAAGGGGAAAAACTTTAATTACAGTGAATAATGCAGTAAAATATGTTTTGCACTCGTTCTATCGGTCAATTCCGAGATTTAATCAACCTTTGCTTGAAGTAAAAAATATAAACCGCTGTGATTGTTGATAATATGCGTTTATCAGCACTGAAGCTCAGTGGTAATGGTAAAATGTGGTACACGAATGATTTTATAATAAAACTACCGAGCATATCTTGATAAAAAAATTGAAAATCAGGCTACCAAGTGGCAGAGTGAATATTTAATTGCTGTTAAATGACGTAGCACTGCCATGGATATGGATATTTGGGCCCAATGCAGTGTGTAATGCAGCAAAATAAATTTTTAGTAATTAATTTTTCAAATTACCTTGTCGCTGTCGTACTTGTGTCACTATCGTTGAGATTTTTTTTTGTATTTTAATAATTATAAACAAATAGGGGGAATTAATAACGATATTGAGACCAAGTCCTTAATTTTCATGCGCCCAAAGCCTAATATTTCGTTTTTTAGTGATGAAAATTATTCTTGAATAGATTGATTCATTAATTAATCCATGAGTGGATGAATTAATGAGTTCATAAAGTTATTAAATGAATTTTGATTAATTTTAATTTTATTTCCCCCAATTGCGGAAATTTGCCCTCAATAAATTTTAGAATGAAGTCAAAAATGAAGAGGAAATTCTCACCAATTCCGAATGATTTGGATGGAGCGTTCAAGAAACTGTCTTCGTTTCTAGTGTGACCCAGTGATGCTCGTCGTGAATGATGTGGTAGACAATTAAGCTCTGAATTGAGATCTGTGACACTTTCTGAACGTGTTACACTGAGAGAATCCAGGGATGTATCAAATCTCATTATCTGCAATTATAAATTAAAAATGATTAATTAATTTGGAAGTAACAGCAATTTTGTGTCTAGATGACTGAGGTGACAGAGAGATGAATAGAAACAATAAATTTGGGGCATACAGTGAACTTGAGACGCTGAAGTACCTGCGAGAAGTTTGGAACACTTGCTGTTTTCCTCATGAGGGGCTGTCCACGTGCCTGGAGTAATTCTTTTACAGCTACACTCTGTCTCAATCTGTCGAGTGTCAGAATACTCTCCACAGCTGATACACCTCTCGTATATTTCTCTGAAAAGTGCATAAGTTTGCTTTAAAAATTTTTTTTTAGCTTAAACTTTTTATAAATTTGATTTTAATATCATCGTCGATTGGATATATCTCGGGCTTGAATGATGCTATTTGGAAAAATAAATTTTCATTTTAAAGCTTGAAAAGAATCCTCGAAAATGAGAACACAAATGGGGAAATTCACTCAGCCGTTTTTTAATTACCGATGATTAAAGACGGCTTGTTATACAAACAATTTCCCTTTTTGATAAAAAAAACTAATACTAATAAATCAAATGTTTCCTTGAATAATAACTAATAATGAGAAACTGTTCCATGTAAATAATTCAATAATAACCCCTGGAAAATTAAACTTCAATAAAAAAATGAACGAAACGGCAAAACCATTTTCAATCGTTAAAATCTCGTGACCCAATGATGCGATTTGGATAAATCAAAATTCATTTTAAACCTTGAAAAAAATCCTCAGAAACGAGAGAAAAATCGTAAAAATTCACTCTGCCCTTTGCAAACTATCAACAATTGAAAGTAATTAAATTTGCAATAATTTTCTCTCATCAAAGACTAGATCGATAAATCTCGATGAATAAGAAATCATCAAATTCCTGATACTCTCTCATAACGTGAAGATTTCGAGTTCAGTCTCCTGCTTTATATCGGTTTCAAAAATGAAAAACACACAAGAAGTCATCAAATGTAATCAATAAAAAAAAAATTACCAATATAAGTTTCTCCATCAGCATCACTGCTGTCCTCCCCACTGGCAGCAATTTGTGCTAAACTCTCTCGATCCTCCAACTCCTCACTAGCCTTTGGTATATTCGAAACAATTTCATAAGTGACCCCAGTCTGTGCCAGACAATCGGGCCTGACAATTCTCTTAAACAATCGATCAGTGAAGCTCTGTTTCTTATAAATATTGAGTGCCAGCCTCTTCCTCAAAACAAGATCCATGGGTGCTGGATGAGAGAGCCTAACAGTTGTCTTAAGAATAAGAAAAACTCGTTCATTAGGAGGTGTAAGTCGATTGAGATGAAGATTCTCATGAATACTGGAGTCCCAAGCAGCAATAGCACACACATCCTTCTCAAGATGCTTGATAATGGGTAATGGATAAAATTTATTCCCATACTCCTTCGACAAAATTGAATTAATTCCCGTGACTGACACCTCCTCCCCAGACTGATGAGTAGATAAATCATCAGCATTGAGATCAAGAAATAGGACAGGTATGTGTGGCTCCATACCAGCTGGTGGATGCCAGTCAGCAGGTGCCCCAGGAATACCAGATCCAGCAGCTGGGACGAGAACAGCATTTCTCTCCTCAGTGAGACTGACCCACTGTTCAACAAGACTCTGCTCCCTCTCCACATCCTGCTCACTCTTGGACTGTTTATTGACTAATTTCTGTATATGCTGATCTAAATACTGTCGTCTTCTCATCAACGCATCACTCCACTTGTCCCTGAGTACCCTGAGATCCTCGTCCTGATAGCTGTCCAAGGGCTGCTGCAGGGGATTTCTCACAGCAACCGAGCCCACTGATATACTCAGTATTGACTGACAAATAATGGGAAGAGTACCTGAATTCTGCACTGGCTTCACCCTCACCTGTATCCTCCTCTGCTGTCCCTGCCTCAGCTGATAAATTCCCCCCGTCAACGTGTCAGGATTGACGATAACCTCCACTGGGGAGTACTCCCCCTGTTCATTCAACTCCTGTATCTCCACCCAGAGTTCAATTTTCCTGGTTAATTCAGACCAACGATCAGCGAGGGATCTGGCCTTAGCAAGCTGCTGCTGCTCCACCTCCCATCCTGGCTTTGATCTTGAAAATCCAGCGCTTCTGTGGCCCCAGACCTCGATGCTGAGGGCCCCCTCAGCACAATGCTCGAGGAACTCCTCGTTCATTGGTACAGTGAATTCATTCGTGTGACTGAATTTAAATGCTGGCGAGTCCCTCTGGCCTGACAAACAGCTGCTGATCTGGGGTAGATCTGTGGTGGAGAGGGATGGAACAACTATGGGCTCTGGGTGGCCCCAGAAATTGTACTGACAGAAGACAAAATGACTCAGCGACAGGGGCAATCCACTCGCCTGTTTTATCGTCACACGACAGCTTATGTGGCTCGAGCCTGTGTAATCGTCGTGCTCTGATGACGTTGAGTCTGAGCTGCTTGAGCTCTCAGAGGCAGCCTCGCATATTCTGTCCGGGGGAAATTGGCCCCTCGTACGACTCACCTCCACCTGCAGTCGACCAGCTACTTCACCCTGTTGACTTATTATCGGGGTGTGGTAGTCCAGCTGAACGTCGTGAAACAGCACCTCCAGAAATATATTTGCAACTCCTATCAAGTTGTGATTCTCCTGGGACTCGTAGAAGGGGTCCTGAATTTTCAACGACATTTCGTCCTTCATTCCCGGCAGGCGCTGCGAGTTGTTCGGGTCTTTCCACTCCTCGTACATCTCACGCATGTCCACGAGCTTATTCTCCAGTTTCTCCATTGTCCAGACTTGGCTGCCCATGTTCAGGCGTTTAACGAGAATTGCTGGCTCACTCACGAATGCACCACGCTGGAAAAATACACTCTTAATGATTCAAGAGTGTTTTTCATTAAATAATAAAATTGAGAAAATAAAAAGCCTCGAAAATACATGCATCCTCGATAAATGATTATTTTTGTGTTAATATTTTCACTGGATTTTACACTAAAATCAACAACAAAAATAATAAACAACGAAGTTTCAGTAAATTTTCAATAATCAGAAAACATTAGTTATCATAAATTTTTTATTCGTGAAAACAAGAAAGATCCACTAAATTTTTAACAACACTTTTTATTAGTTATTAATTTTATTATTATTAAAAATTCTGTGAAATTTCGTGGTTTTTTAATTTTAGTGTTTTAGTGTTTGTGTTTAAAAAAAAAACGTGACTCGATTTTTTTTCAACAATTGAAGAATTTATTAATTTCTAATTCTTGATTTTTTTGCAAATTTTGTATTTTTTTTGTCGTTGTTTTGATGTCTTCATTTTCGTTGTTATTTTGTTACTTTTCTCTCTTGCAGAAACAAGAAGTCTCTCCAAATTGTTAGCAATAATTATTTTTCATAAATTATCAATTTTCAATTGTTGAAAATTTCCTAAAATCTTATTTTTTTAATTTTTATTCCTATATCATTTGCAGTAAAAATAACAAAACAATCAAAATTTATTCTGCTTTCTTAATTAAAATAATAATAATAATAATAATAATAATAATATACCTTTCTATTAGGACTAAGATTGTTCGGTGGTATTTGAAGTGTAACACTGAATTTCGTCTGCTTATCCATCTCCTCAGCAAGAAAATTAGCCTCTTGCACGAGTGAATTTGCTTTGAGTATATCAGTTTTAAGCTGACCAAGACTGCGTTTGAACATTTCGTCACGCTCCTGTGCCCATTTTTCCACGCGCATTTGTGTTGTTGGAGTGCAAGCGGGCAATTTACCCCCCTGGCTTCCTCTCAATGGATCATAAGGTACGTAGGGTGAGTAAGGAGTTGATGGTGATAAGATATTTCGTAATTGTTGAAATTGTCTCTCGTACTCGAGCCTCTGCTTCTCCAGTGCAACCTAATGTGAGAGATTGAAAAATTGAAATTTTGAATTTTGTTTCAATTTTTTAATCGTTTTTTTATTCTGGATTTGATTTTTATTTTTGAGATCATATCCTGTGATTTTCTTTTTTTTTATGAATTTTTATCGATTAAATAATTATTTGTAAATAGAATTTTTTGAATTTTTTTAAGAATCCGTTTTTTCTAAATTTTTCCCATTTTTTAAGATCATATTTTCAATACTTTATATTGTTTTTTGGGAGTTTTTGTAAATATCTAAGAATTTTTACAAATTCAATTATTATTTTCTCAATTTTTAAAAGAATCGACACTTTTTTTCATTAAAAAAATTTCAACGACTGTTATTTTCCCCGAGAATCCCTTTAAAAAAAAGATTACCTGCTTGTCCTCCTCATGCTGCCTCTCCAACTTCTGAATAGCCCTCTGAATAGGATCATTGGTGAGTTCATTAAGCATGAGCTCCTCCCTGGCAAAATTATAATCAATGTTCTGCGCCGGTGTCTGTGGTTCACTGCTAATTGACGTTGCTGGTCTCGGACAATTAACCCTAAAGAAATGATGATTTCCCCACACGATTCTATCGCCATGCTGCAGTAAAGTCTTCTCAACAACCTGGCTGCCATTAACAAAGCACCTGGCCCCATTGAGAGGGCTCATATAAAGCCCAGACTCCTCAATAGTAATGACACAATGTTCAGGAAGAATCCCCAGCCCATGAAGCTGAATATCCTGTTCAGTAGTGGCAGACCTGCCCCCAACAAGTGTGACATCCTTCAGATAGTAGACAAGCAGTTCATTAAGACTGGGATCATCATTAAGGTTCACCAGATAATATTTGTTCTTCTCGACCTGAATGCCAGACGCCTGAACACTGATTCCCATTTTCTCAAGTGCCTGCTGTCTCTCGTGCTGCAATCTCTCCGTCTTGACGAGTTTCTCCTCCCAAGTCTGCGACATCTCCTTCATGAGCTTCTCCGACTCGGAGAGCTTCTCGGTGATATCAGTCCGCCTCTGTCCAACAACAGAGCCCTGCCCAGTGGCATGAAGCAGCATCTCCTTGAGGGCCTCAACTTCCTGCCTCAACTCCCTTATGATCCTCGCATTGGGATCCTCATTGACAACAGCATGATTAACAATCCTCTTAGCTCTGTCAGCATATCTCAAAGTAGACAGTGTTTCCTCGTAGTTATCAGCAGCCGGCGATATAGTAGCCACCATCACAGTTTTGCTATTGCCCCCAAGATTATCCTTCAACAGCCAAGTGAGAACGGAATCCCTGTACGGCACGAATTTATCACGATTCTTTCCCCCCGAATTTTGATCAGCAAGCTTAGAGATGACTAGACCAAGTGTTGTTAATGATTTGTTAATATTACTACCCTCCTTGAGCCGGTCACCAACCGCTCCCGTTTTCACAGCCCTTTCGCTACCAGCCAGATCAACAAGACTCATTCTCGATACCTTTTCACCGCTGACACCACTCTGGGCGTCAGTCAATGTCTGGGTTACGACAACTGAGAAGACAGCGTGCGATCTTGAACTCTCTGAGTTCATGTTGGTCGCAGCAACTGTTCGTGATTTATTGCCCTCAGTCATGAGATTGTCTATGTCTTGGTAGGATGTAACAGCTAGTTGACTGAGTCCATCGACGTATGGACCAAGTACATTGTGCTCTCTAACTTTTAATGACTGTTTGTTAGGCTTTGGATCCAACAAATCGTGGACTTTTTCGTTATATATCTCCATGTAGGAGACTTCGACTTTGTACGTTAGCTCGTAACTCTGCTGTTTAGCTATCATGTCGAAGAGATTGTCACACAGACGGGGGATTATACCTTTGTTGTCACCACTGCCCATCATTGTGTACGATTTGCCTGAGCCCGTTTGGCCGTATGCGAAGATACAGGCATTGTAACCCTGGAAGGCATTGTCAAGAATGTCTCGGCCTAGGGCGTCGAATACTACTTCTTGACTTGCAAAATTTTCTAGGGTCGGGTCTAGGGAGTAGAAGCAGTGATCAAAGGCGAAGGTTTTGGGCTTGTTTCGGTCCATCTTGTCGAGGCTCGTTGGGTGCTGGAGGATCGTTTGTTGGCCCGTCATTTCGACGACACATTGTGTACCGAGCTCCAATTCTGTGGATTGACGAGGCTCCGGTTTTAGCAGGTGGCGGTGAGGGGGAGGACTTTTTGATTATGAGATGGGAGCGATGTGAACGGTTCAAGTCGACTCATCTCCCAGTTGAGTTTTTGAGGAATATTTCGGAATCTAAGGGAGATGGCGAAATTTTCGTGGTTACGTTTGTTGTAGCACTCAAGCGGCTCTACAAAAAAGGTTATAACAACAATTTTGCTATCTGCTTTAGATTCCGAGATATTCACTGAAAACTGGGCAATAGCTAAAATTGACTTGTATCGTTTTGCCACTTCGCTATTGATATAAATATTAATAGTTAAATTATCATACCATCATCATATCTTAATTAAAGTATTAATATATTTATTTATAATTTATAATCATGTGCGAACAAAGTTTTGTACTTGATATTTGTTTTTGGCTGAAATATTGAAAAGAGAATATTCTACAGAAATAATTAATAGAATGCCAAGGTTCGGTGATTGGTTTTTCTTATGAAAAGAGAGGGAGAAAGAGTGGAAAAAGTTGAGAAACTTTATTATTTTTTTTAATGAAATAAGAAGGAAAGAGACTTAAAAAAATTTACAAAATTCATGTCGAGGAATTCCTATAGAAAATGTCTCAATAGAAAAAGTTGTAATCCCCGGAATTCATGATTTTCAAGTATTCCCAGGACTTCATCAAATTTGGATCATTGAAATTCCATCAACTATCGCTATTATTATTAATAACCACATTTTGTTCTCTCGTGAAAGCATTTCTCAAGTACATTTCTGTATTTTATAATCATGATCGATCGTAATCACAGCAATTGGATCAATACCAATACGAAGATGATGAAAAATGTAAAAGAAATGTGATTTCTTTCCCCTTGAATGCGGAAATATCGTAGGCTGTAACAACCAGCTGATGGACGATAGAAGTAGGGGAGAGTATGAAGTGACCATGGGCATATAGAACACCTCGTGCTAATGTTCCTCATGAGTCAATATACCCTGATTATGAGGATTTCCCCGCTGAGCGTCGATAAGTCCTCACAATATCCAGCGGAAATTTTTTTTTTAATGTCATCTTTTCCTCAAGTCAGACCGACTGTTTATTCAACTTTATCTCCATTATTTATAAAAATTGAGGAGTGTCCTCGTTAACTTTGTTGGCTGGCAAACAGAGATAGCCTGAACTGTCGTGACCAGTGCGATCAATAAGAGGTCGCGGTAGTATCTCACGTGGGTGTTGAAGTAAAAAAGAAATGTTGGGCCCCAACACCGTCACGAGACGTTGAATTTATTTCGATAATCACCATAAACCTCACAGATTTTCTCATTTTCACGCACAAGGGAGTAAGAAATAAATGGTAATACCGAAAATTAGATTGAATATTTAATTGGGAAGGCTGCACGCAAGAAGAAATTTCATGGAAAGTCCTGACGAATTCGGTAGAACATTCTATAGGATTTCTGTTGAACTTCTATTGAAAATTCTATTAGTTTTTGGCGGATTCGGCTGGAGAATTTTACAGGTTTACAGCGGGGTTTTTTGTAGGAAATGTTCAATGGCAAATATTTTACGGAAAAATCAACAGAATTTCAGTTTTCTATAGAACTTTTTCTATTGGAACATTCTCTATAGGATTTCCTCGACATGAGTTTTTCAGGTTTTCTTTCGGTGAATTTTCATTATCTTTCCATTTCGAAAATCAAACAAGAAAACTTGGGAAATTTGAGTCGAGGAAATTCTATAGGAATTTCTATTGAAAATTCTATTAGTTTTTGGCTGATTCTATTGATGGATTTTGCAGCTTTAAAACGCGCTCTTTTGTAAGAATGTTCAATAGCAACTATTTTATTTAAAAAATGAGTCAAATTTCATTTTTCTATCGAAGTCGTTCTATTGAGAAATTTTCTATAGAAATTCCTCGACATGAATTTTCCAAATTTTTTTCACTCAATTTTTCTTCTCTTTCCATTTGAAAAATCAAACGTGAAAATATGAGAAATTTGAGTCGAGGAATATTATAGAAAATATCTCACGGAAGTAAGTTGTACAGAAAAATAAAATTGTTTGAATTTTTCCTATAGAAAAGTCAATACAATTTGATTTTTTTAATACAAATTCATCCGAATAAATTTCCCCAATTTTCTCCATTGTATTTTCATTTGTTCCTCGTAATAAAATGAAAAAAAAACACTTGTAAAATTCTTGTTCCAGAATTCTTATAGAATTCCAACAGAAATCCAGTGGAATTTCATGAAAAAAGCGCTAGAATTGTCTATAAAAATTTTTCGTACGTGTTTCACGCGAAGACCATAAAAAACCACACACTACTACCGAAAATTGGCTTGAATATTTAATTAAAAACGCTCACAATAAATCATTCATAAAATTCGTGACGATAAAACGTTGATAAACCTTTGTCGATGGAGAGATTACTCACAAGATCATAAATAACAAATGGAATTGCGTAAGACTATCGAAAATCGATCCGCATTGAAAATTTTCGAACGAAAACGAAATTTTCCTGCTGTTTAACAATTCCCGAGACAAGTGAAAATACGTGAGAATGACCTAATCATTTCCGTAGAAGAAAGTCTCGATATCTCGTGCGAGTTAGTCATAAAAATAAAAGTGTAAGTGATATGCCATCTATCGGGATGAAAAAATGGGCTGTTGTTGGTCGTTAAATTTTATATATTCCGTTGTTCTGATAGTGTTTGATCCGTTTGTACGAAACTTTCGACGATGAAAGTTTAATTTTTGTTATAAATATTTCATTCATTTGCAAAGTTCAACTTTCACAATTACTTCCATCAGTTGTTGGATAAAGCAACATGAGGAACTGTTGCATTAATCAATATTTCAAGGGATTTGATAAATAAACATGAAGAAAAAAAATACTTTCGGATTTTTTAGACCATTTTTAGTTACCCCAAGACAAAAATTGCAAACTTAAATTTGAGAGATTGTAAATTTTCCATTCAGAAGTAAAATTGATCAAGTGAATAAAAATTAAATCACCTTCATTGAAAAATTGAATCTTTTACTAAAAATTTATTCATGGAACTGATATTCTTTCAGTATAACGATGATTTCGTGAATTATTGTGGCATTTCGAGGGAAAATCTGGAAAAAATCGATGAATTTGAATACGTTTGCATTGAAACGAGAGAATGAATCGCATTTAAACTTTAAAATTCCTCACGAAGATATTTTTATTCAAGTTTTGAGTGAGATGGGTCATATTGATAATTAAAATGAAGAAAAATTCAGGAGAATAATAGATAATCATTCAAAATCAACTGTAAAGATTTGAGAATTTTAATTCCTGATATGAAGAGTTAAAATACATTGACTTGAAGCCCATTAATTGATTAATTAATTCTCCTTAACTGAAGACTAAAGTCTTTTATAGAAAAATTCATTAATAGATCTGATATTCACCTTCGTCAGACACTTTGAGTGCAAATTTGGACAGAATAGCTTAATTTCAATATTTTTCGTTGAAAAAAAAGAGATTCAAGAGCATTTAAATCCCAAAATTCCTCATAATGACTTTTTTATTAAATTTTCGAGTGAAATTACCAAACTACTGAATATTCCTCGACAATAGATCCTACAACCTTGAGAATTTCACATCCTGAAATGAAAAGTTGAAGCCCCCACGGAAAACCGATGGACAAAAGACAAAAACTATTGGAATCATGCACAATGCTGGCACTCAGAGAGTGTCAGCTCCATGCGTGAGTGTCCTTTGTTCAATCACAACTCTGAATCTAACCAAAATACCCCTGAAGCCTCCGCAAAGCCCATTCTCATCGATCTGAGGGAATAAACAAGTCAAGAGTGAAAGGTCCCACGAAAAAGAGCCCCCAACAACGACAGAAACTAAGAAATGACAACAATTTCCTACGACGCGATAAAAAATGCTTGTGGACACAATCCGAGAGATTGCGTCCACTGCTCGACACGACAGCGGAGCCTGAGGATTTTTTTCCCCATGGATACGTTGAACAACAGTCTCTTGACTGTGAAAAGTGACAGTTGCTCAAGTCTCAGGGGAAAATGTTCTCATGAAAACCAATTGCTCTGGTCAAGGACGAGGTGTTCTGATCGCCCTGCGATGTTGGCACTTGTTTACCAAAAATCATGACAATGTAATCCGAGTTAAAATGCAATCTCACCTCGTCGATTGAACGGCCTGACTCTCACAGCAACTCTGATTTTATCCGTGGCCATGATTATCGTTGAAACCCGGCACCTTTTGTATATTGACTGAAATACTCAATCTCAAAATCACAGAACAATTATTTATTATCAAAACCACCTTTGAACCTCTGGCTGTACGCACACCTCTGGCAATCAGTGCAATCACAGTAACATTTTTTCGTACACTACATCATTGTCAACCCATAATCCACTGATCATTCATACAATATCAATGACACCTACGTCTCATCGAGCTCGTGACACACTTCGCCATTTTGCTTTTTTGATGATACGAGCGTGTGAACTGGTTTGCGCGCTTGCTACACGTAACGAGAGTGAGCTGAGCTGCTTGGAGCAGACCCAGCAGGACGAATACTGTTGTATTCGTGTGTTGTGTGTGTGTGTGTATGTGTGTGTGAGCTGAAGGGGGGGGGTGTCGCTAGTGTTCGGAAGATCCACATGGATACGATTTTTTTAATCGAGTTGAGGACCTCAACTGCGATTTCCTGTCTCTCGGAGCGTTTGGCGAATTGTTTTGCTACTGAGAATTTTGGAGGGAGATTTTTTTTTTTGCTGCACTTGGGGAGAAATACTATTGATTTTTGGGGGTTTGATGGGAGGGGGCAGCACCTGCGGGGGAGGCGGTAAAATTTGTACAGAGGGAAATTGGAGTTTTTTTGGTCAAGGAGTAACAGAATGCCGCTGATTTACCAAGTTTTTGAACAAATTTCCTGCTGAAAGTTATCGATATTTTTGCAAATCAAAGGACAGTAATCTCCAGGAAGCGATGATGAAGATCAATGTGCTTTGAGTTAAGGGGGATTGGGGTAAAACGGCCTCTTTAGACTTTTTTTGTGATACTCTTAACTCTGGAACAAATTCATTAATTGAGATCAGTCTAGAGTCGTTATCTTCTCGAGCCAATTTTGCCAACTGATCAGGGGAGCGATTTTGCTCGGTTCGTGTCGACAAAACCTGTTTTGTTTCAACCAATCCTAGTTGAGTATTCCGAATGCGGGACTGTCATTGGTTGAAATTTACGATTTTATGACGACATAAAACGGGCAGTATCGCTCCCCTGCTTGTTCTTTACCCAAAACACGATTGCGCACCGCGCACGCGCCGCTCGCAATGTAACGCAATACATGACAGCATTTTTCCCTTGTCATTCATAACAACAAGCGAATAATAATGGCCGGATCACACGGCTATTTTGGCTTTGAGATATTGAACAAATTGGTCGAAGAACAGGTGCACAAGAAGGAGGACGTTATCATCCTCTTCGCCCATTGGTTTCTCGTCAAGAATGGATTCAGGTGTATTGGGTTAGGGGATTCGGTGAGTTGTTCAGTTGTCAATATATTCTGTAGGAAATAATAATAGGGGTTAATGTGCCGGTGGCATTGTTCGTCGGATTTCTTTCGGATTTGTTAATTAATTAATTTGAAGAGATAATTGAATTGTTTCAGGGATTATCGCTAATTATTCTCATTGATTGACATTTATTTTTTTCGTCAATCGGAAGTAATTCGACATCAGCAGAGTGAAATTAAATGTTTTTTTTTTCGTTCCGTTCGTACCATTTGAGCACTAGATTTTTCTATTAATTTTTTTCATACGAAATTCATGAGAGTTTCCATTTTTAAGGGCGAAATGAGTTCAATTTTGTGGAGCCGTGTATTGTTTCCAGAAAACTTTCAACAGGAATCAAAAAGGCTCGGAGTTGCTGCCCGAAGAGTGGAGTCAGAGCAATCACTACTCGCTGAGATACCTCAAGGAAGGAAAACTTTACATTCTCCTTGGACGTAAATCAGACTCAGATTTGCTCCTCAATATTCTGGTAATTCTCTTTATCATCTGGGGTATATTTCTCCTGAGAAAATTTCTCGTGTCAAATCTCTCTTCCAAAATTTTCGTAGAGTCAAAATCTTCTTTTGAGAAAGAGGCAGAAAATTTACATTGGAAAAATTTTGGGATTCGTGTCCTGATATTTTGAAAAATAGAATTGAAAGTTGATTGTGTTGAGTGTGGTAGAATGGTCGAGTGATTATGGACTCGATCTCAGCAATTTAGATAGGGGAGGGTAGGATAAAACGGACACTTTTTTTGAAATATTCATGACGTGTTGAATTTTTCGTGAAATGGAATAATTTTATTTTTCAATTGAAACACAATGATTCCTCTTTGTGATGAGCTTAGACTGAGCTCAATTGATAAATCTGTTTCTGAGTTATGAATATTTTTAAAAAAGTCAAAAGTGTCCATTTTACCCTCCCCTACTAAAGTTCCTTTATTCCTACCTTAAAGTTTAATTGTTTAAACCAAAATTATGTTAAAATATACTTAATCATAAACTACATTGGTAATGAGCTCCCGAGTCCATTGTGTTCTCGGTTTTTATTCAAAAACTGTGGCACACTTGCCTCGATTTGTCTTTGCATTCGTATTACAAGACTGTCTCGTGCTGCAATACGATGCTGAATCGATAAATACCTAATTACTTCATAATTATACTATAGAATATTCTGGAATACAGCAATTGAATTTCCAGACAATCGCAGATAATTGTTCATCAACAGTGAAATTCGATGTCAACACCACAATCTTAGAGCTCCATGGACCTCTGTTGTCGTTGATTCCTCGTCCCCAGGAGGTGCAGCACAAACTCCAGAAGGAATTGGTTGACCCAGTGTACGCTGGGAGTGCCAGGGAAATATCAACTCAAACCGCAGCAGCTTCACGACCCCATGTGGAGACAAGTGGAGGCTCACCCCCTGACAACATCCTGCGAGTGGGTCCAGCCTCAAGAGCTCTATGGTAAACGAATAAATTTTCATTCTTCTTCAGAGGCTGTCAGACAAACGAATATTGTGAAATCCTGAGCAGAGATAGGCACAATCATAAATTATCGTTACCATTAATAATTTCATAAATACTCAATCAAGTAATAGAACTTAACCATTTTCAATTATTTAGGGGAGCATGGGGCAAAATGAAACACGGGGCAAAATGAAACAGTGGGAAAATCTCGTCATCTAAAGGAGATAGGACATTTTTGAAGAGGACCTTTTTTGTAGCTTGTAAAATTCTCTACAAAAAAGGTTTTCATGAAAATCCTCCTATCTCCCTTAGATCACAAGATTTTCTTGCTGTTTCATTTTGCGCCGTGTTTCATTTTGCCCCACCGTCCCCTACCTAATAGTTATTTAAAAAAGATTAATTCTCAATTATTTATTATTTTCTAAGATCCAATGATAAACGAATGAATTCGGTTATTTTGGGGAAATAATTCCCTTAATATTTCTGTAATAATGATTGATCCTGACCAAAATAAACACAAAACAAAAGTCATTCGAAATCTCATACGGGTGATAGAAAAAAACTCCATGTATTCCTGAAAATCTAAAAAATCTATTTTTCTATATTATGAACAAGACATGAAAAAAGAATTAGAAAGGGATAATCGGCTCGAAAATTGATTTTTTAAAATTTTATATCGGCGGGAACTTCAAATCACTTTTTTTCTCAAGTATTAGAGGAATATCAATATTTCAGGGAGAAGAATTCAAAAAATGCAAAAAAAAGTGGGCGGGAAGAACAAAAAAATTAATTTTTCAATGTCTCCGAAAAGATGTAAAATCGACGTATTTATTCGAATAATGGAAGAATACCCATAAATTCGATTTCCAACCTTATCATTTGATAAAATAAATAAGAATAAATGACAGAAATCGAGAATTGGAGACTACAAATTTTATCGGATTATTATTACATAATTTTTATTAGAGTTCAATTCGAAATCTGTTGAAACATTTAATTAATTTTTTGCGAAAATTCCCTAGAAGATTGTGTACAATCATTTTCTTTGTCATCAGGCCCCCAGACCGAGACGTAACAGGAGTTGGAAGGAACGATATAGACCCATTTGGAGGTATTGGCCCAGCACGAGGAGGTGGAATGATCTTCGATCCATTCAGACCAGCAAATCCAGGACTACCTAATCCCCTGGGACCGCTTCCTGGGGGTATAGGAGGCCCTGGGAGACTGCCACCGTAAGAATTTTCCGACCCTCTAGTCCTCTGTCTCGCAAAAAATGGCTTTATCATTATTATTCAATTATTAAATGCAGGGGAGCCATCCCACCAGGCGCCAGATTTGATCCCTTCGGTCCGCCAGATCTAGTCCAACCGAGGCCTCGTCCGAGAAACCCAGATCACGATCATGAGCTTCCGCCAGGAGGATATGATGACATGTTCATGTGAAACATCAACATATGTTCGATAAATGTAAACATTCTCTTCACTATTAAAACAGAATTTGTGAATTGATGAAATGATGAATTAAATTTTTGATAATATAGAACTATAAATTTTCAATTAAGTTGACATTTCTAATTTCTTAAAAAGGATTATGGAATCACCAAATAAACGGCAATCTTTCTACCTCAATTACTGGTTAATAAAATAGTTCAAAATTTGAATATTTAAATGGGTGATTACTGAAGTAATTAAAAGTTTAAGAGTGATGTTGACTAATTGACGGCTTCAAAATTTAACGGTCATATCCATAAATCATAATTACTGTTAAATTATCAAATTATCAATTAGTTAATATCACTCATCATCACTCAATCATCAATTTCAGTAGTCAAATTTTGACTTTGACTGGTACACCCGGGCCTTAATACAGTTATTCACCAGGTAACGAAGCACAATCCACAATCATTACTCATTATCATTATTTATTATGATTATTATGATAATTATTTATAATTGTTGTCATCGTTAGTATAATTATATTACCGGAAATATCGAATATTATCCAAGTAGTTAGAAATATCCTCACGTGAAAGAGCGGGACATTCACATCTGATCGACAGACAAAAACCAAACGATGCGAATACGAAATTATTTTATCGCTTTCACCACGTGCAACATTGCTCCTTGTTTCCTCAATCTCTCGTATATCTCACTCTCCCCATCACCTGTCAATATTTTTTTGAACACAGTCTAGTGTGGCGCACAGCGTCACTGACAATTTTATATAAAAACTTGCTAGTTTAATCGTATATCGTCAGGTGTACGGGCAATAAAAATAGTAGTCATGGCATTGGTATTGAATTGAAGAGTGAAAAACAATTTTGTTTTATTTATTCAATGATTACATGCGAGTCTTCATAAAATTGTCATTGCGCTACGATTAAAAAAATGAAAGAACTTTGGAGTGCATTATCTCGCCGATTACACACTTGAGATTTTTTTTCCTCTTTGTCCATTTCATTCGAGTTAATTTAGAAAGTCAGGCCTCGACACACGTACGAAATTATTTGAGAGGCCTCGCAGGCACGACCGAATTTCCCGGAAAAATCTAGCGAATTCGCTGCAAAATTCTATTGGATTTCTGTTGGAAATTCGTTAATAATTTCCAACAGAAACTATTTTGTCGAAGAAATCGGTAGAATTCAATTTTTCATAAAACTTTTTCTGTCGAGATATTTTCTATAAAAATTCGGCGACCGGGATTTTTCGAGTTTTTTCCACTTTTTCTTCTCTTTTCATTGAAAAAAATCAAGCAGTTTCTATAGAAAGTATCTCAATAGAATAGATCCTATAGAAAAATTGAATTAAATCGATTTGTTCTGGAAAAAATATTTTTGCAGAAATCCAATAGAATTTTCCAGGCAAATTCCCAGGTTTTTCTATGAAATATCTTCGTACGTGGTCTCTCAATAGATTTTGATTCTTCCATCCAACTCATTCTATTTTCAATAAAAATTAAATGTTATTTCACTGGATTTTTTCTGTCTCATTAGAAGGAACAACAGTTGTGTAGAAAGATCAAAATCCACTGATTATTTTTGTCTCCAGATTTTATTCGTACGTGAACAATAGAAGTACATCAATCCGGCGTGCCACTGGAAATGCAACAAGGCGCCTAATTTAATATTAAAATTTCCAATAAGAGATGTTCAACTCACACTCAACAAATACTATTGAATACACCTGAGAATTTCATAATAAATGTCACTTAGATACTACACAATATATTAGTTCAAATCTCATTTTTGGTGATGATTGCACGAAAATGAAGATCGATCGAGGCGAGACAGCGATGAAAGTGGATTTTGCGCTTTTTAAACTCAAAAAATGAGAAAAAAATCTACTTTTAATTTTTTTTATTAACGACATGTCAATCGTTGACGACGATTGACATGAATTCACGGACGAAATAATTTAGAAAATAATAATAGAAAAACCTATCGAATTCGTTAGAAAATTCTATTGAATTTCTATTGGACTGTTCCATTAGTTTTTGGCCGATTCTATTGAAATGTTCAATAGGAAATATTCCGTAGAAAAAGTCAATAGAATTCAATTTTTTTATATAATTTATTCTCTCGAGATATTTTCTATAGAATTTCCTCGGCTCAAATTTTCCAAGTTTTTTCGTTTAATTTTCTTGATGAGAAGAAAAGAAAAATAGAATGAAAAAAACTTGGAAAATTGGAGTCGAGCAAATTCTATAGAAAATGTATGAAAAAAATGAGTTATATAGAAAAATCGAATTCTGTTTTTTTCTATTGAATGTTTCCTATTGAACATGTCAATAGAATCAGTCAAAAATTAACAGAAAGTTCAATAGAATTTTCTAACGAATTCGATAGGTTTTTCTATTAAATTTTGTCGTGCGTATTTTGGCTACCACATACATATTATAGTGACGAAAAAAAAAATGAGTTCATTTTTAATTCCCATCTGTCAAATTGAAGGTCATGACACATCAATAATCTCCATTTTTTTCATTTTTTTGATCATTCATTTTCCAAAACAACCATTCTAGTGATAAAAAAAAATTAAATAAAAATAGTTTTTTATCCATATTTTACATTTTGATAATTTTCTGTCTGTACAGCCAAACGCCATCATTGGAAAAAATCGCGCCATGATTTTTTCTCATTTTTTCAGTATAAAACCCCAACTGTGAAATTTCACGGCAGTCTCCCCTCAACTCAAGTGTAACAACGTCACCCGTCGAACATTGTCTATTGTCAAATTTCACATGTTTAGTATAAAGTACAGTAACATCTACTTCATCGAATCATCGAAGTATTCACCTCGTATTTCCCCCGTCGTTATTAAATTTTCAACTGGAAATTCAAGTGAAATTGAAGAAACAAGTCGGCAAAAATATCAACATTTTCCTTACAATCTCGTATTATTAGTTCCTTCATATTGCCATGAGAAATTTACAAATTTTAACAGAACGAAAATTTTAATACGCATACAATTGATACATATATAGTGATATATAACGTGATCGCTCGATAGCTAAAAGATATTGGACCATAGGTATACGAATTGGCCCCTAGCCCATTGACGGCAGAGTATAAAAATTAATGTACGTATAAATCGCATTGAAAACGTAAATGTACAATTGTAAATTTCAGTCAATTATTCGTGGGTATAGACTTGCCAGAGATATACATCATAAATTAAAGGGGGTAAATAAAGTAACATTGATAACAATTCGGCAATAGCCCCATCTGTTGCATTTCCACTGATAGGCCATTAGTTTGTTTTTTATAATATAATTGGTACAATATGTCGCTTTTCGTCACAATCGTGCGAACATTGGTGAAAATTATATAAACAATAATCAATTACTTGCACTGATGAAAATGAAAAATAAATGATAACTAAGAAATTCATCGTCATTCACTCTACTGGACGCAGCATGAATTCTTTTGTCCGTTCTTGAGCTTCAATCGAGATTTGGGACGATACTTTTCCAAATAGCCCAATTGTTTGGCATTTATAGCGCCACGTCGTTTCCTGGGAAAGCATAAACGAAAATAAAATGTCATGAGTGCAACAATACATGTTAATTCCATTCATCTTGAAAATATGGAAACCTACTCCCTGATGAGAGCCACAGCATCCTCGTATTTCAGTCCTAATTCAATGAGTGCAAGTGCTACCAGAACAGGCGCTCTACCGAGTCCAGCAACACAGTGCACAGCTACACATGCCTCAGGTGTTTCGCGAAATCTATTCTTCAGTAACTCGAACCAATCATCGATCACCTACAACCATTAATTCACATCAGATGAATCACGTCACAGGTCGCATTGATTTTTGCAATGAGAATGATTATGAACAATTCAGTAGCGAAGCGGTAAACCGGGTTAAGTCGATTTTGACTTTTGGCCATTTTTTGACAAATATCTCGGAATCTAAGAGAGATAGCAAAATTTTGCTCATTACCTTTTTTATAACCCTCAGTTGGCTCTACAAAAAAATTTCTATCTCTTTTAGATTCCCAGATATTCGTCAAAAACTGGCCAATAGTCAAAATCGACTTAACCCGGTTTACCGCTTCGCTACTGAATTAATTGAAAGAAGAAAAAATGAACTAGTTCTAACAAAAAGTAAAAGTTCATTGTTTTGAAGATTAAGTCATTTCTAAAAAAAATCCAATGTCATTAAGTCAATGGGGTTAATGGAGAGCACAATAATAATTAATGTTTTATTCATTTTTTTTAGTACCTCGTTCGGGGGAAATGTTCCATCATCAAACACCAAATCAAGAACATTAATTCCCTCGGATTTGAGTTCCTCAACTTTGTATGTCGGCTCACACACTCTCACAACTTCCATCACATTGTGCTTCTTCAATTCCTTAAATTAAATATAAAACATAAATTCGTAGTTTATGAGAGCAGCATGAAAAGCATTTGACGCGAATGAAAAAAAATCAATTGTTGTCATTTTTCCGATAAAAATTGTTGGACGTGAGTTCTCAAAACTTTCATTGCATTTTGTAGTGAGAAACAAGAGAAAATGCCCAAAAATTTTCATGAAGAATAAAACAAAAAGTTTTGGTGTTGAATTGTTTCGTTCGTGAAAAAATCCACGTACAAAAAAATTTAATGGAAAAACCTAGCCAATTCGCCAGACAATTCCATTGAAAAAATCATGTTAAGAAATTTCTGTAGAAAATTTCTGCATAAAATTCGATTTTCTGTACAAGTTATTATATTAAATTATTTTCTATAGAACTTATCTTTCTATAGGATGTCTATAGAAATCATATAGAATCCTATAATATAAATTCTATAGAATTATATAGAATATGGATTTTGTGGCTTCCATTTCTATAAAAATCTATAGACTTGATTCTTCAATAGAGTCGTCAAAAAAATAATATAATTTCCAATAGAAATCCAACAGATATTCCCATAGAATTCTATGGGAATATCTGTCTGTTTGGCCAGAATTTTCAATGAAATTGTTTCGTACATATTATAAAAACTAAAAAAAAAAAATATTTACTTGGATGAAAGCGTGAATAGTCTGATCACTGGGTCGATCGGTGATGAGGAATTTCATATTTTTGTATTCAATTTCGGCAGGAGCCGGCCTGATATCTTTCACCCGCATGTTGCTCATTTCTTCATACAATTGCACGTTAATATAATTAATTTATTATCCTCTTCAAATTAAATATCAAATCAATAATTCATAACTTGGCTAAACGAGCTGTGCAAGGCTACGTAATATGTCCAAATAAATTATAAAAAGGAATAATAGTAAGAAATACAGATGAAATTCTTTTGAAGATTTAGCCCATAGGTGTCAGTCTTATCGTGAGGTTCTTCATTTCACTGTATGATCCTCCTTCCTAGGACAGAGGGGAGAATGACTTTTTTTTACACACACAGAATCTTGATAGATGTCGATTCAGGCGTGAAAGATGCGTGATATGCGATTTTTATTTCGGAAGATTATCTGAAAATGAAAAACGAATAATCGGTGAAATAGGGCATCGGTGGTGATATTTCGCAGAGAGTTTACCTATTTGGCGCTGGGTAATCCCCACCAAGGTGCACTCAATGACTACGATGCCTGAACATGGTAATGTCGATTAAAAATTCTTCACTAATGAGTTTTCCTGATGACTAGCTGATTGATTTATCGTTTTCTATTGATGAATACTAGATCGTTTCAATTTTTATTTCTACAATATAACACGTATATTTCGTTTCAATCACTACGTCCTGGCTTTTTTTTTATAATCACTTGCTCCTCTGGTTTTTTTATTTTAAAATATAATTTACTCAATATTGAAACGTACGTCTTGTATCTCTCTATTTGTGTTGAGCCTGGCAGTACTCGGCGCTGTCCAGCTGAAACTCCATGTATGTGAGGATGCACTCACCAGGAAACTGAGCAAAAATTATTAACCGTTGGTTAATTGGAATTTGAGGTGATGAGACTCAAAAATCGGTAGGGGAACGTTTTCGATCGTCAATGAGTGGAGAACGGCAGAGTGAAATTTTTCGATTTTTTTTTCATTCCCGAGGTGATTGTTTTGCCTTTAAAATGAACTTTGATTTGTTAAAATCGGATCATTCGGTTGGGAGATATTGACGATTGAAGACGATGCGGTTTACGAGTGCAATGACAAGTCTACCGGTGGCCATGCCTACCCTGAAATCGTTAGTCATTACAACTCTACCGAACGTCACCTCTACCGATTTATTGATAGAACAGTCAATCGGAACATCTGCCCAGCGACAAGGCTATCACCATGGCCTGGGCGTTAACAACTCTACCCACCTGCATGTCTACCATTGATCACCCCTGAGCGCCGTCAACTCTACCAATTATGCCTATTCGCCGAAAAACAAAATTAGAATGGGCCTGATTGATGTAGTTGACGACCGGTAGAGTTGATCACCGGTAGACGTGTATGTGGGTAGAGTTGTTAACGGGTAGACCATGGCGGTAGCCTCGTCACTGGGTAGAGATGTTACGATTTCGCCTGGCTGTTTTATCTATAAATCGCTCGAGATTGCGTTCAGCAGAGTTGTGATGGCCGAGGAATTCCGGGTAGCCATGGTCGCCGGCAGATTTATCGTTTTAATTTTCTAGGTAATTTTTTAAGCCTCAAAATGAGCTTTGATTCTCTGAAATCGTATCATTCGGTCGGGAGATATTGACGATTGAAGACGATTCGGTTTACGAGTGCAATGACAAGTCTACCGGTGGTCATGCCTACCCTGAATTCGTTAGTCATCACAACTCTACCGAATTATAGATAAAACAGTCAGGGGAAATCGGAACATCCCTACCCAGCGACAAGGCTATCACCATGGCCTGGGCGTTAACAACTCTACCCACCTGCACGTCTACCATTGATCACCCCTGAGCGCCGTCAACTCTACCAATTATGCCTATTCGCCGAAAAACAAAATTAGAATGGGCCTGATTGATGTAGTTGACGACCGGTAGAGTTGATCACCGGTAGACGTGTATGTGGGTAGAGTTGTTAACGGGTAGACCATGGCGGTAGCCTCGTCACTGGGTAGAGATGTTACGATTTCGCTTGGCTGTTTTACAAATCTCTAAAAATCGGTAGAGATTGCGTTCGGCAGAGTTGTGATGACTCACGAATTCCGGGTAGTCACGATCGCCGGTAGATCTGTCGTCTGAATGTTCACGCGCTATTAGTTTATCCGTAGATTTGCTACCGCACACGTGAAGCCAACTACAGCTGACAACCGACCACGGAATTCCAATTGCGAAAGCAATTGTTGAAAGATGTTTATTTAAAACTCTCGCATTATGGAGTTCTACGCAGAAGTCACGTGCGTTCAAATGCATACCAGGTAAGGGGGGAAGCTAAAAAATTTATAAATAAAACCAACTAATAACCTTGAGACGTCCACCAACGGCGTAATATTCTAATTTTGTATATTGTCCCTGGTTGCACTGTATTATATATTTTTTTTCTCAAACATCCTCGCTGATAATGCAAACGGCGATGCAATAAAAAAGATTGAGTCGAAAAATTTAATCGAGGGGGAAAGAACCTCGATCATGTCTCAAGGGCATTTAAATATAATTCCAAATGATTTACTCCGCCCTCGTGATACACGGTTATCCAGAGCGCAACGACAAATTAACAGATGCATGCGATTGACGTACAATTGCTTTGAAAATAAAAATAATGCATTTTAACCGCTCAAATCGATTCAGGAAATGTTAACATCAGCTCCCTCGCCCTCTCTGTTTCGATAAAAATCCAAATGAATGAAAAATTCACAAAAATAAAAATATTCACCAATGTGCGCATGAGACCCGCCACGTCTCTTTGAATTTTCAACACAGCAGTGTAAAATATCGAAAATAAAAAAGCACTTGAAATTTGTACCTCAATATCATCGATACGACGGATGGAGTTGTAGTCAGACGTGCGGAATAAAAACCACTTGAACCCAACAGTCACATTTTAGGTGACACCACCACACACTGATTTATTTGAAAAAAATAATGCCAACGAATTTCTCACGACTCTCTCATGGGCACCAGCAGCTGCCTCCGAGGAAGTTAAAACGACTACCGAATTTGGATATTAATGAGAGGATTGAGGAAGCGGCTTTTTCAAGTGATCACGGTTTGACGGTCGTGCAGAATCTGGGCCAGGCACGATCACAGACGGATGAAAATAGCGATGGTAAAGACGCGCTCTCGCTCATTGGCGATATTAACGAGACAATTTTACTCTCTTCATTCCCCCTCCGACGATACTTCGATATTAGTTGTTTCTTCTTTTTTTTTTTCGAAACGCGTGGCGTACTCTCCGTAATCTTCCTTATCCACCTTCCATCCCTACCAGTGGCTTCCAACGTCATACAGAGTCAGCCAATCGTGACGACGAGGTTTTGTGACGTTATTCGTCGCACACTTTGTCCTTATCACTCATGCCATTTCGCTTCGTGATGAAATACACGGATTTTGTTGTTGATTCAGGTATCGATTACGCGAATGGCAGTTTTCATTCGGAAAATTGGGGGAATTGTTTTTTCCGGTGGCGGCGGGAGAAATATTTGGAGAGATAATGCAGAGTCGTGGGAAATTTTGGCAATTTCAAGGGAACGCATGGAGAATATTCGTTTAGAAGATTTAGGGAACATATTTATTCGGTTCGCTCCGCTCGGATGATTTTTCATTCTGAAAATCCGGGGAAAATATTTATTCTGCTTGGGAATGGGAACAATATCCGGAAATATTCAGTACACTTTTTGGAAGTTATGGGCATTTTTGTTTCAAGGAATTTCGTCATTGATAATTCAGAATTTCATGGAAAAAATTGAAAAAAATTCATACCCAGTCAGTATTATCTAAATCAAATTTCGCAAAATATTGATATTTTTTCAAACATTTCCCTCTTATAAATAAATAATAAAACTTGTTTGCAAAACGGTGGATTATTTTTTATGGCGTGTCAAAAAAATTCGTGATTTTTTCACATTTAATGAGAAAAAAATCATATTTTAATCTTTGATTACAATGGAAATGTTGATTTTCACATAAAACACTGGGTTAAATTCTGATTGTTAACCATTTCTTCTTTGAAAAACCAAAACGATTGAGAAAAAAATTTGAATTCCGAATTTAATCGAGTTTTCTGCATTTTTTTGCAGTTTTCAATAAACTTTGAATTTACCGTAAGGGTAGAGCTACTTTAATGTTCCCTGGAAGTTAATAGAACTCAGAAAGCTTCTGGTAAATATATTCTGGAATTTTCAATTAATGGGAAATTCATCGTAATTGGGCGCAGAATTTATGATCCCATTGAAAATTCAGGTAGATTCTAAATTCAGGAATTTTCCTCTCAATTCTGTTAAAAAATTTGGAATTTTTACTGAAATCTAAAATTTCATCATTTTTTTTCTCTGAAGGATATTCAAGTACTCGGCTGTTTGTCTCCAGTGAAATTGCACTTTTTGAAATTTACGAACATTTTCTATAAGTGATTCATGAACAATCAATTTCCACCATAAAAATCATTCGTTCGGAATCGAAACAAATTTATTCATATTCAGAATTTTACCAGAAATCGATGTCATCCCTACAAACACGAGGTTTCCGAAAGTTCAAACAGTTCCAATTATTTATTAATAAACAACGAATGATTTAAAAAAATAACAATTCTGTGCAAAATATAATTTTAATGACGCTGAATATTCCTGATTTTTCTTAAACTTCTCTCACGCAATTTCATTGAAAAATTTCATGATTGAAAATGGGTGAATTTACACAGAGAGAAGAATTTTCTAACGAATTCGATACGATTGGTTTTTCTATTAAATTTTTTCGTCCGTGTTTACATGGAATATGACCGTAACATAGAATTCCTGTTACCAAAATACATTGCAAAAGGGATTGACACAAAAAAAGGTGTCCGCAAACCTAGTGACTCTCAAGATGAAAAAGTCTATTGACTTGAGTAAATGGAGAATGGAATTGGAGAATAAATAATAATGAAAATGAGAGTGGAGTCGTTAATGCGGTAATTGCGAGAGATTGAAGGAATATAGGAAATTGATGGGAATGCCGTTGGGCCATGTGATTGGGAGAAAAAATAGTCGATTATCTGGAGTGCGTGGGGTTCATTTAGACGGGAATACGTGCAGTGGGAAGTGTCTTTGTGTGGACGGTGGGTTCGATGAAACTGTCGGCGATGGCGCATGCTGAGGGGGTTTTCTGGGTCGGGTTAGTTGGTTAAGTTACTGACCTCCAAATCCAGTCGCATTTGTAGGGAAATTCTGGGGGATCGAACTGAATTGGAGTTCGATTTTTGGCCAGAAACTGAGGGACGAAACTTGCACGTATGAAGGAATTTTTTTTGAAAATATAGAGAATTCGGTGGGAAATTCTATTGCATTTCCATTGAATTTTTTATTAGTTGTTTCTATTAGTTGCTGATTCCACTGAAAAATTCTGCGATTTTTTAAAAAATAGAACTGTTGAATGGAGAATATTCTGTAGAAAAAATCAATAGAATTCGATTTTTCTATAGAACTTATTCGATTGAGATATTTTTTCTAGAAATTGTTTCTAATTTTTTAATTATTAGTTTTTTTTGCTTGATTTTTTTTAATGAAAAAGGAAGAAAAATGTAGTGGAAATGTTGAAGAATTTCTCCAGATTTTTTTTCTATAGAATAATTTTTTGTGCGGAATTCTTCAATGGGATTGACTAAAATCTAATAGAATTTCTATTGAATTTTCTATCAGTTTTTGGTCGATTCTACTGAAAAATTGTGTTTTTTCAAAAATAGAACTGTTGAACTGAAAATATTCCGTAGAAAAAACCGACAGAATTCGATTTTTCTATACAAATTACTCTATTCAGCTATTTTCTATAAAAATTTCTTCAAATTTTCAAATTACCAGTTTTTTGCTTGATTCTTTCAATGAAAAGGGAAAAAAATTATAGTGGAAAACCTTGAAAAATTCATGTTGAGAAATTTCCATAAAAAATATCTCAATAGAAAAATGAAATTTTCCAATTTTTTTTCTATAGAATATTTTTTTTGCGGAATTCTCCAAAAGCATTGGCTAGAAACTAATCAGCGAACAAATGTAAACACCAATGTTGTGCTTGTGATATACCTAGTGAAATGTTCTAGTTAGTATTTTCCCTCCATAAATCTAGTCTCTTCCGGGGCAATTTTATGACGTCGGTATGTTTTTAATACTTTCCAATTATAAAGATAATTTAATTGCCTCTTTGGCAATGACAGAAGGAATTCAGTTTCGCCTGATTCTTTCCTTTTTTCGTTTGATTAAAATTACTGTTCATGACCGCCAACGGCTGAGGAGTGAGAGCTTCAGAGGATGAATGGAAAATAAAAAAAAATCCTTGTACATCTGAAGTCTGCAATATAATATCGCCGACAGGAGTCGTTTGGACACGAGTTCTACCCGATAACCATGAAGTGTGTCTATCTCTCCACAACAGGTGGTCCTGCCACCTGATCTGTCGGTTGGCAATAATAATTAAATTCATATCTGCAACGGATACAATGGCCTTCATGTGACTCCTTCAGCGGTTCACCTTTCGATATCAAGACTGAACTAGTCTGCGACAAATCTACCGGAATTCTAATTAAAAAATGATATTTTACAGCGACTTCTATTGAACATTATGGAATTATTCCACGCGATTTTTTACGCATATTCGATAAAAAACTCGAGAGTTTGATTTTTCTATAAAAGTTATTGTCTCCAGAGTTTACGTGTGAAACTCAGGAACTTTACAGAAATTTTAGGAGGAAAAATTAATAGAAACAACGATAGGATAAACAAATCAGTAGCGAAGTGGTAAACCGGTATAAGTCGATTTTGACTATTGGCCAGTTTTCAATAAATATCTCGGAATCTAAGGGAAATAGCGAAATTGTTGCGATTTCTTTTTTTGTAGCTCTCAATTTGCTCTACAAAAAAGGTTATCACTAAAATTGTGCTATTTCCCTTAGATTTTGAGATATTCATTGAAAACTGGGCAATAGTTAAAATCGACTTACACCGGTTTACCACTTCACTACTGAAATGATGATTCACTCCATTCCTGGTACAAAATCCCTTCATTGGGAATTCTCTTCAATCAATTTCATGTCAAAATTTTTATTCTCGAAAAAACGTGCTCGACTCCCGAATAATTGGAGCTTCCTCGAGCAGTTCACTCTCAAAATCGTCTAGGGGAGAAATTCCTGGTTTAAAATTGAAATAAAATCGTAACTCACAACCACTCCATTGTCATTGGTTGGAACTCACGATTTTATGTCTTCATGAAAGAGTAAGATCTCTTCCATTCGTCTGGAAGTCCCCACGAATCATCAGATAAATACGACAAGATCGACTCCACAGATATTCATAATCTCCTCTAATTAATTTCCAACCAATCAAACGGAAAAAATCCCCTAAAGCAGTAGACGAAGATAAAACAACTGGAGAAATAAATAGTGGAGGAGAATAATTCGGGATGTCCCTGAATGACGGAAGTCTATTGGTCGCGCAAATCACGAACTCTCCCAGTGGCACGAGTTTACGTTACAGGGAGTCCCAGCGAGATGTTACTCTGACACGAGAGCAACGAGAATGTCCGGATGACGATGATTTTTCGAGTTCCACTCACCTGAATCGCCATACACATTGAATACGGCAGGTACGTTGGGGCGTCGTTGTTAAAAACGATACTCCAAAAAGGGTCAGTGACACTTGCTGAACTTACACACGTCCTAACGCCAAAAAAGCTTATGGACGACTAGCAGCGAAAATGGCGGAAGTATCTTTGTGTGAGGAGGGGAGAGACGTCGTGCGCAGTGTCAGCACCCTCTGTTGGCGAAATCGGAGATGCCCAGATATCTCATGAGCATCTGAACCAAGATGAGCAGATAATTTCGAATAATTTGGCTAGAGATGCAAAATGACCGTCATTTTGTGATTATGTCATATGACCAAAAAATGACGGTCATGTGACGTCCCGAACTTTCTAATGGCAAATGACGGTCACAATTTTTCGTGATAATTAAAAAGCTAACGTCCAGCCGCGGAAAATATTCAATATATTTTTTTCAATTAATGAACAACCCTGTTACGAGATTAAATTTAACTCTCCAGCAATATTTATCATTTTTTAATATATCTTTTGTATACATATATTTTTCAATAAAAACAAGAAGACAAAAAATTATTTTTAACAACTTGTTTTTTTTCCTGTGTAATGAGGAAAACATCGATGTTATTTAACAATCCAGAAAAATCGATTCGCAATATCGACGTTTTTTAAAACATCGCCCATCCCTAATATGAAATGAATTCAAATAAAAAAAATTCATAGAGAAAAAATGAAATTGCGTCTTATAAATTGTGACGGTCATAGAAAAGAGGGAGGGGAATTGTGACAGCCGTCATAAATGCCTCGTCATGTGACCGTCAATGACGCTGAGGAATTCGCTGAATAACTGAATGCAGATATATCTCCAGTTTTCGTGTATTATAATAATCCAATGATTTCACACGTACCAGTCACTCAAGGACTAACAATAATACCTCAAATTTACAAATTCGTGATATGGAACGGAAACCCTGCCGATGAACAATTGCACTGATTGCGTTATCGCTTAAAATCTCCCCGCTATCGCTTTCTCTGGAATTAGTCACTGATAGCGTTAGTTAATTTTTTCACACCAACAAATTTCTTCATTGATTTAAGGCATATCTTTTTCGCTAATAATGAAGGGCTATCACACGCTCTCGAGTACCAACTGATACCAAATTCTATTCATATCAACATTTTTTTCTATTTACAACTGTGGCCTTGAATTACTGCAATTTATAGTCGTTATACATGATTCTTTGTCGAGTTAATCACTTGATCTTCAATAAATTTGGGAATACTTTACCATTTTCAATGGTACAGAGGTGCATAAAAGCAAATGGAACTGAAAATATTCAAATTTCAAGGGAGAGTATTAAATTTTCTGCAATTGCTGTCATTTTTTTTCGACATTTTTACAAAAAAAAACAAGCAATTCATGAACGAATACATGTTCTCATTTTTCCAAGTTTGGAATTATGTTTTCATGATAACGAATGCAAAAAAGAGTGCAAAAATTTCAAAGACCATTCGATTTTCCGCAATTGTTGTAATTTTTCTCGACATTTTGACAAAAGAATTCCCATCTCCCATGAAATTCATTGATTCAGCATTATTTTTCAATCAATTCCTGAACAAATACATGTTCTCATCTTGTAATCCCTCGCTTCATCAGTATACGTAACGTTTTGAACTTATCCTTATGATCCCTACCAAAAATACATTGATATCTACAAGCTGGTGCTATCATCGTAATCGTAGATTTGACATTTTCCTCGTGATTAATTTCCGGCCACGGAAATTAAATATCCGGATCGAGAATCTCTTCAAGTAAAAACATTTTCTTCATGATATTGTATTTCTCTGCGCTGGGGAGTATATCATACAATGCTGCAGGCGCAAAAAAAGTGCCCGTAGGCAAAAAAATTTTGTAAAAAAACCTTGCGAACCTTGCGATTTCTATTGAACATTCTATTAGTTTTTGGCCGATTCTATTGAATAAATTTCTCAGCTTATTTGTGTCTTTTTCAGTGGGAATGTTTAATGAAAAATATTCTCTAGAAGAAATCAATAGAATTTCATTTTTTAGACAATTTTTCTTGTTTCTATAGAAATTCCACGACATAATTTTTTCAAATTTATATTTTCTTTATTTTCATAAAAATCAAGCAAAAAAATCTATAGATTTTTTTTTCATTTTCTATAGAAAATATCTATAGAATTTCGATGAAAATCTATATATATTTTTCTAACCAGTTTTTCAAAGTAAAACGCTACAGATCCGGGGTTTTTCTATAGAAATTCTATAGCAATATTCTATAGCAATATTTTCTATAGAAAATATTGATATAGAATTTCGATGGGAAAAATCTGTAGATATATTTTCTATAGAATCTCTATAGCAATATTTTCTATAGAGACCCAATCGAAAATCTATAGAATGTTTTTGTTTCATTTTTTTTTAAGAACAACAATGAAGTGAAAAAACTTAGAAAATTTATGTGGTAGAATTTCTATAGAAAACGTCTCAATAGAAAAAATATAGAGCTGAAATTCTGCAGATTTTTTCTACAAAATAGTTTCTATTGGGGATTTTTAGATAAAAAAAAACGGGCAGTAGAGGTGCGGAATTCTCAATAGAAGTTCTATAGAAATCCTATAGATTTTTCTGCCAAATTCGCTAGGTTTTTCTATGACATTTTTTCTTGGGGGTTATTTTAGATGAGAAGCAGTAAAATAAACTTTTTTTTTCACACCCCATCGTCATTAAAGTACTATTTTTGAGCTGTTTGATAATTGAATTTGATTCATTCATTTTCCCTTCGGTGATTCACGGTGCATTAGCACACTGTGAACAATTGACGGTGCTTGCGCATAAATTGACGAGTACGAGGGGGTAATCACTCATAACGTGAAAGAAATTTCGTTTTGAAAATTTTATTTTGAATTCATTAGAATATACTGCTGAAAAAGAATTGAAATTATATAAAATTCCAAAATTCACTGAGAATTTAATGGAATTTGCCATTAAAAGTTGAAAAACTCAATAGATTTCCTCATTTTTGAGCAGCAGAAAGATGAAATTTTCCCAATCCACTTCAAGTTTCAATTGATTAAACATCCAAGAATAAAATTTCTATTTTTTTTGGTCAATTTTTTCCCGCTTCTGATCACGAAAATCAAAATGTTGAAATGTTGTCGAAATGAAGAAGAAGAACGGATAGAAAGAGGCCCTCCTGGGAAATTCTGAGGGAAATCTGCTATTTTTGAAAAAAATATTCTTATTTTTGAAACTTTATCTAAAATTCATCAGAATATCCTCTTGAAATAGCATAAAATCTCATGAAATCTGAAATTCAATGGAATTCGCAGATAAAAATACAAAAATTCAATCAATTTCCTCATTTCCGAGCAGTAGAAAAACGAAATTTCCTCCATCCACTCGAAGTTTCAGTAAACTGAACATTCAACAATACATTTACCTGAATGTTCTTCATGTCTATCAACTTTTGTGGAACAATTACGCCGCAATTTCCAAATTTCCACTGACTTCACCACAAAATTCAGAATTTTGTGGTAAAGTCAACACATGAACCAACTCCACCCCTCCCTTTCATTGAAATAATTTTTTTCAGAGTGATCACCCCAACCTCAGTCCAACAATTTCGTTTTCTGAATGTTTATTCCCTAAAATTTCCACACTCCATGGACGAAAAAATTTAATAGAAAAACCTATCGAATTCAATGTTTCTATATAACTTATTCTATTGAGATATTTTCTATAGAATTTCCTCGGCTCAAATTTCCTAAGTTTTTTCGTTTGATTTTCTTGATGAAAAGAAAAGAAAAATAGAATGAAAAAATCTTGGAAATTTTGGGTCGAGCAAATTCTATAGAAAATATATGAAACGAATAAGTTAATAGAAAAATCGAATTCTGTTGACTTTTTCTATTGAACATGTCAACAGAATGAGCCAAAAACTAATAGAAAGTTTAATAGAAATTCAACAGAATTTTCTAACGAATTCGATAGGTTTTTCTATTAAATTTTTTCGTGCATTTCGAATGACAAACGAAAATTTTCTCCTGTTCCTGAGTTGGGTCAATGAGTGTTCCCTTCTCCCTGTCATCAGCACTTTAATTATCTTGATTACTCCCTCCAGGACAATCGAGAAAGCTTCAGGTACAACCATAACGTCATAATTCCTGACAACGAGCGGATTTTTCAATTGAATTGATCTCCAGCGTGATAAGAATCACTCCAAACTCCTTCAACTGTATTTTACAATAATTTTCTCACTATTGCTGTTAATAGTCCATCATATCAATACATATTTATATAATTAATTATCAGCATTATATGCGTCATTACAACTCATCACACGAGTGAATCATTAAGTATTAGATAGTCGTATGGGATTTGGATTTTAATCTGTACATATTTAAAAGTGAAAAATTGTTCACTTTCATCACTATTGCCGTCATTCGTCTGTACAATAGAATTGTCGCAGCAATTCCGTCGAAGGAAGAAGTAAAAAGGTAATAAATGGAGCCCAACCTTGATCATATACCCGATAATACTATATTGACTGCTCAGAACTCGTTGATATGAAATAATGTGCAACTTACATATTACGAGACTCTTTACTTAATTTTTTTTTGTTTCTCTTCACGTGTGGAGAAATTTAATAGAAAAATTCTATTGGAAGTCTTTAAGAATTCTGATAGAGGCGTACGAAGAATTTTACTGGTTTTTTTTCAATAGATATTTGGTAGAAAAAAGTGATTTTCGAATTTTGAATTCATTCTGATTTTCCTATAGAAATTTTTGGATATTTTTACGCGGGATTTTTAAAGAAAAAAATCTCCACACAAGAGATTGTATAAAAAATTCGGAAACTAGGGATTTTTTCTAAAAACTAATTGATTTTTCAATAGATTTTTTAAATAAAAAAAAGTAAATTAATTCTAATTTTCCTGTTGAAATTGTTAGGCATAAATTTTTCCGCTGGATTTTCATTTGTTTCTTATAATAAAATTCAAGCAATAAACTTGTAAAATTATGCCCATGAATTGACAGAAGGAGTTGTATAGAGAAATCGAAAACTAGGGACTTTTTCTAAAAACGAATAGCATTTTTCAATGAAATTCTAACAGAACTTTTCTATTTAATTTCTTTATGGTAAATGATTTTCTCAGAGTCTTTCAAAATTGTGTTGCACCTATAATCGACAGATTATATCCCTAATTTTGCGGTTTTTAAGGCAGTTATGTCGTTATATTTACAGTATCTGTCAATGGGGATATTCACACCAGTAGTTCAAACGAGTTAAGTATGGCCAAGTTGAGGATATTCAAGTACTTCAGTATTTTTCTTCATTGAGATCATCTTCAACATCAGTTTCTCATGAACAAACTATTTGTATTATTTATTCACAAGAATTGAATGTTTAAAAATAATTAATTCCTTGGCAAATGCACTATCCAGTTTTCAAGAATTATTCTCATGCAATTGAATTTGAAAATTCGATCATTTAAAATCCCAAAATATATAAAAAATGATGTATTCTAGTAATTTAGGATTTTTTTTGCATTGAGATAATCTCAAACAGTTTTTTATGAACATTTCCATTATTTTTTTAAAAATAAATGTTTAAAATGATCAATTTTCTGCAAAATATCTCCATTAATTCTTTAAAGATTATTCTCGTGCAGTTCAACTCGAAAATTTCATAATTAAAAATCCCCAACGAAATAAACAATTTAACATTTAAGTTGTTTCGAATTTTTTCGTCGAGATTATCTTAAAAATTAGTTTCTTACGAACATCTTCATTATTTATTTAGAAACAAATGTTTAACATGATTAATTTTCTGCAAAATGTCTCCATTAAAATTTTTCAAATAATTATCGTGGACTTAAATTCCAAAATTTTCCGATTAAAAATCCCCCAAAAGCCTGAAAGCTTGTGAATAATACTTGAATATCCTTGAAAAACCGATGTAAACATCCCCAGAGTCCCCAATAAATGCTGTCATAATAAATTTCCATAAATTCGTCTATTAAAAAGTTCCCCCCTAGTATTTTCATTCCTATACCTAAAACTATCATTAAACATGATGATTATTAGTGTCCGAGTAATCTGGTAATAATTTTGGATGAGACGTTGAATCCACAGAGCCTTGGGTCAGCTGTGCTGACTCGGATTCCTCAATATTTGTTGATTTTGTTGGTTCAGTTGGCGATGAAATTGACGATTGAGTATTGCTAGGGGAATTACACGTCACCTGATCGTTATCTGGATTATTTTGATTGCTAGGTTTTTCCTCGAAGAGTTTATCGAGACTTATTATTGATCCAATGAGATCATTGACAGTCAGTGCTGCTGGCATGTCCTCCATTTGTCTTCTTCTCCTTATGAGCCACCAGTCAAGGAGGAATAGGGCTAGAGCGAGAATTTTCATGCCTGCACAAAGTCCAACATATCTGTACCTGAATTGCTCAATGTCGTACAGCAAGCATCGACCACCCTTTTCACCGCAGGTACTCTTCCAGAGGAGGCAGGTGGAGTCTATCAAATTTCCGAAGAGTATTGGAGCAGGAATGTAACCGAACAGCCGGAAAATTACGAACTGCATTCCAAGGGCGAACGATCTCTCTTCCTCGGAGACTGATCTGTAATGATTATTTCAAAATGAAGGGTTTTTTTTCTAGATTATTTGTCTAGCTTTAGGGAAGTGAGAATTCTGTTGACGTTCAATGGTGAATTTTACTTATTTTGTGACAGTTTTTTATGGAAAATTACATGCTGATTCTTAAATGTAAATATTCTTCTGGGTTTTTTTTCGATGAATTAGTTTTATAAATTATTTTCCATAAATATTTTTGGGTAATTTTCCTGTTTTTTTATATTTTGAGATGAGGATAATAAAAACGAAAGAAATTTTAAAGAATAGACTGATTAGTAATGATTGTTTAAAACATGAATGATTTTTTAATGATTAATTGTTTAGTTTTAAGGGAAATTTTTGAGAATTCTGTTGACATCCAATGATGAATTTTAGAAATTTCGTGATGGATATTTTTTGTGGAAAACCAGATGTTGACTTTTAAATGTGAATGTTCCTCTGGGATTTTTTCTATGAAAGTTTTTGGTCAATCATCTAAATTTTTCAACTTGACGACCCGAAGGGATGACGCTAGATTTTTTAAAGATATTTATTGATATTCACTCACCGAAGTACTATCATGAGCAGTGGCATTTGAGTAACAGCAACGACAAAAGTCATGAAGAATAGGAGAATAAGAAAAGGGAAGATTGTCTTGCATGGTGAGGTGCACGGTCCAGCTGTTGCAACTGGTATTGCTGTTACTTCAGCAAATTCATTGGCTGCTGGAGACAGCATTGTCAAATTTCCATGAATACCTGTTTGAAATAACAATAATGAATAAAATAATTAAAACAGTCAACAAATAAACCAAATAAATAAATTAAATAAAAACTCTTGATCATGAATTTTCTAAGATTTTCCGTTGAGTTTCGTAAAAATAACAAAAAACTAGAGGAAAACTTCATCATAAGAAACTGTTTTACCACTTCACCACTGAATGTCTACAAAAAAAAATCTAATGCAAATAAATCCTAAAATCTTCAATTAAAAAATTAATATTGACTGAGAACTGTTGACATTTTCAATCACTCACATGCGCAATTTGTGAAATTTGATTTCGAGCTAAAGGCAGTGCACCCAGCATGACAAGGGCTGAAATACGTGAGGCCATTATTCCCACAGACTGGTTCGACGTCGTTCATTCGGCACTCACACCCAAAATTGCACGAAGCAGTGAGATTAACTTGAAATGGTTCAGCAGCTTTCGTACTGCTGTTGAAATAGGGTATCGTGGTGCCAGCCATTCTGACATTGTCACAACCGAGGAAGAAGAGTAGAATGTAGCACATCAAGCATACGACATTCGACACGAGAACAAACTGGACAGCTCCCTTTGGCCTCAGCTCCAGTCGTTTCAGTAAACAACCGCCGAAAAATATTCCAATGCAAGCACCAGGCATTGCTATCGATCCAGTGAATATACTGGCTTGACTCTTTCCTAAGCTGAACTGAGTCTCGAGATATTTAGGCAAGAATACGACGAAACCAGAGACTATTACTAGCTCCATGCAGGCACCCAGGCATGTTATCACGTATACTGGATTGCAGACGAGCCTCCACATGCTTCGTGGTATGTCTGTAAAGAGAATAGACGATTAATTATTTAACAATTAATTATTGAAGACAATTAGGAGAAAATGAAAATTTTTTTAACGACCTCTGTGGAATTTTTATTGGAATTTTCGTTTTTTTTTCATTATGAAAAAAATCTATATATCTGGCATTACAATTCGTTTATCGTCATTTTTTTAGTATTTGATGGGAAAAATGGCATAGATTTTAGATTTTTCTATGAATTATTCTCTTGAAATTTATTGTATTGAAATTCTAGGGCAGAAATGTAACGTTTTTCAACTTCCTTTTCACTATAAAAGTGTAAATCTCTATAAGTTAGATAAAAATCATCAACATCCATTAATTTTTTCTATAAAACATCCGCAAAAAATGAATGGAATTTCGATTGAGAGAATTTTCATTGAACTTCATCAAAATTGCATGAGAAGAAATTCTATAAAAAATATCTCAACAGAATAAGTTGCATAGAAATTCTATTTAATTTTTCTATAGAATATTTTCTTTCGAACATTCCAATAAAATCAGCCCAAAACAAATAGAGAATTCAATAGAAATCCAATAGAATTGTCCACCAGATTCTCTACGTTTTTCTACAAAATTTTTCGTGCGTGAGTCTACAATTTCGCACTAAATTCGGAAAAAAAAATTTTCAATTTTTGTTTGAATTCTGTCTATCAATGAAAAATAAAAAATATCAAATAAAAATATGAAATTTCTTTTGATTTTCCATTAAATGAATTCTCAAGCCAAAACCAAATATTTATTGATTTCGAAGACTGTTGATAATTACGTTAAATTTTTTTCTAGTGAATTTCTTTGTGTCAACATTTACATGTCGCTTCCACATACAATAAAATCGCCCCCCCCCCTCCCCACAATGAATAAACTCCCCAAAAACTCACCCTTAACATCCTTCCCATATCCGCTGTCATCCTTGCCCCTCTCGATCTCCTTGCACCTCTCCTTCTCCATTCCCCCCTGTTTGCTCTTCTCCACCTCAATCTTAATCTTCTCCTTCTCCCTGAGCAGAGTCTTGGGAAAGCTGAAGAAGGGAATGGCCACGAGAATCAGCAGCAGTCCACAGAGGAGAAATCCCCCCCACCACATGCCCACCCACCTGTGATCCCCAGGACCAATGCTGATGATGGTCGACGACAACGAGTCCATATGAAAGGACAGCAGATAAGCCCCCAGAAGGAACCCCAGCACAGGTCCAAAAGCAGCCATGCTGTACATGCAGCCAATGTACAACGAAGCACTCTCAGGCCTGACATGATCATCAATATAAGTGGTGCCAAGGGTGAACAGAGGAGATCCCCCACACCCAAGGAGCAGCTGTGCCAGAACAAACAGCATCACCGGTCCAGTGGTTGATGGTGACCCCTGAATGCAGTTGTCCCCCCTGAGATTATTGTGCGGAGCCAGTGGAGGTGCTGACAGCCCAGAGGACAGCCTCCCCAGTCCCATGTCCTGTTCCCTGATCGAGACAACACGACAGATGTTGTCAGAGCTCGAGTTGTTGAGTGTAGTCGTTAAATTTTGCTCAGCAGTGAAATGAGGAATCATGAATATCATGGAGCCCAGGCCCATAATGGCAGCCCCAATGGCGATCCACACTGGAATGTGCCTCCTGCTCCCCAGATAGCTCACAAAAATAACAGTCGTGACATTTCCAATCTCGTAGGAGCTGGCTATGAGTCCCGACAAGCTGGATGGAATTTCAAATCTCTTCTCAATAGTCGTTATCACTGAGTTTATGTAGCCCGAGCTGAGGGCTTGCTGGACAGTCACGAGGAATGACAGCAGAAATACAAATACTTTTATTCCAGCAAATCTCTGGATGAAGGCTGGCCTGCAGTGGAGTATTCCGCAGTCCTTGTACTCCAGGTTCATGGGGGGTGTGTGGGCCCTCTCCTTCTCGGGTTTATCGACGAATGAAGCACTTGGATTTCTGCTGTGACACTTGATGATGAAGTCACGGTGGTCCACGAGACCTGAACTGGGATTTCTGCTGTGACATCTTATTACTGTGTCGTGGGTCAGTCTTCCGTCGTTCGGTGGGAGAAGGTCCAGTCCCACTGACTGACTGTTTCCCGTGCTCTCGGCGTAGAGGCCCGTCATTGCGTACATACTCTCGTTGCGACGGTGGCCGGGATAGTAGTGGCTCGCTGATTCCGATCTTTTCTGACCGAAGATGCTGCCACTGCCGTTGCGCTTGTGGCCGAATTCGGGGCGTTTGTGGCCAAAGGCACTGGAGATACTCTCGGCTCGACGGTGGCCGGTCTCAGGGCGCTTGTGGGGAATGAAACCCGAGCCCGACTCCGTGCGCTTGTGGGTGAACATGCTGGAGTTGGAGCCCGTGCGCTTGTGGGCACTTGTCGAGGCCATTTTCGGGGGTGCGAGGGGGCTTCAGGGGTTTAGAGGAGATTCTTTTGGGGGGCTGGGGCGTGGGAGGGCCCGGGCATTATCTTGCCGAGGCGGGCAGTCTGGAATGGCAAGAGAATAGAGTGATTATTGAAGGGAAATTATTATTACTCGGCTAGGGGGGTACCCTACTCGCTTCCCTCGCAAACCAACTATCGAATTCGTTAGAAAATTAGCTGTGTGAACTTGGAGTGGAAGTTTGATAAATCGATTTTTTTTCTTATAGTATCGATTGTACTCAGTGAGTACCTAAATGTACCACATTCATTTTCGTACAAACGTCTCATCTTCCGTACTTCCACTCCCATCGCAGTACAAACGGAACAATTTTCTGTACATGATAATGAAACCAAGTACAAACCATTGTGAGCTTCAAAAACAGTCGTAGATTATTAAGAAAAATGATACATTTTCCGAGATAATCGCGAAAAACGAAATCGCCAAAAAAAATTAATTTAATTTATCTTGTATAGGGTGTAGGAA